AAGCAAGTCCTTCCTTGTAACAATACCAACAACTTCGTTTCGCTTGTTAACTAGTTTGAGTGTGTGCAGGTGGAGTTTGATTGAAGACATGTTAGTTGAGTGCTGTCCCATCACTCCAATCAATCAATCACGTATAACTTACCAACTGGCATATGTCTTAGACCCATTGTTCTGAACAATTGATAACCTTCACTGAAGGAGAAGGTCTCGTTGGATACTACTGAGCTGAGGTTCATGTAGGGACGTAGGTCTATGTACATGTTCTCCATCTCCTCCTTGGTGATACCCATCTGGTTGATGGGCGGGAAGTGACGTGCCAACGCCTGTGTCATGACCTGGTAGGTCATGCGACCGTCGGCGGGGATGTGTCCATAGTCCGTGGCCTTGCCCCAACGACGTTGGTGCTTGCCGCGCTTGAAGTTGTTGGGCAGACGTTGTTGCTCCTGCGTGAATATCTTATAGTTGAGCAGGATGATGAGTTGGGATCGCAGGATCATGCCGCAGTAGATGCCGTCCTCTGAGTAGTCGCCGCTGTCCACTGTCTTGGGGTTGTGCTTCTCGATAACGGGGAAGCCTGCGTGCTGATTGGATTGCAGGACGTCCATTATACGAGACACCTTGTCCACCTCGAACAGTGTCACCACTTCGGTCTTCATCACATCGGTGATGCCCAGCTTGATCATTGACTTTGGCGGCTGGCTTGGCAAATAAGGATAACACTTCAACTCCATCAAGTGTTCATAGATTGATTCATTGAATATATCTCCGACCCACTTGGCAATCATAACTGATAATATAACTGGAAGCATATATTGTGTACCTATATTAATTGTGTGTTAATACTATGTTGTTTGGAATGATTCCATTGAATGTTGATTGATTGTGATCGTTACCTTCAGTGAGTTCCACAACGATAATGGCCAGAGAAATGGTCATTCTGGAGAAACCGGCCATCATTGCTGATGAGCCTACCATGGCGTAGATGGATGGGTCAATGGGAGGGTTGGCATGACTGAACATGATTGAGCCAAGCTGTCCGACGAGACGGCCAAAGGTGCCACCGAGCAACATCATTGGAATGAAGAGTCCACTTGCCAGCATCAAGCCCGATGTGATCGTTGCCAATATGAACGAGATGAATGTAAAGACGACCAATGTTGGTATTGAGAATAGATTGACGGCACGAGAGTACAGCAGTCTGAGTGCTGCATCCATCGTGTTGAATGAGAGGCCAGCCATGTCATTGTATTGATCCTAATCGAGCTGAGGTATTAGTATACTGTGAACATCATCCGCTGCTCCATATTATACATACCTCTTCACAGAAGAGTCTAACGAATGTGATGTTCTGGTTAGGGATGATTGTGGTGTTGTGGACGAGACTTTGTTCGCGACAACCAGTGACGCCAGCAGCAGTGAACAGGGTGACAGAGGTGAGTGTGACGACCAGGACCACCTCGAGCACACGTGTGTACACTGGCAGCTTGGAGAAGAACTCTGAGCGCCACTTGCTCAGTCGCACGTTGAGGTAGACAAAGAAGGCGCCCAACAGACCGCCAATGACGCCCAGCGCGGCAAAGGCCAGCAGCTCAGAGTAGCGGTAGAGATACTCTTGGGAGAAGCCAAACGTCAGCACACCATAGTCGTGAACCTGCACTTGGAAGCCCTGCAGAATGAGGTTGGTCGTGAACGTTGCTATCAGGCACGCAAAGAAGGTTCTCCAAGTCAGCTGCTTGGACCAGAATGAGCTGGCTTCTTCGTAGCCAAACAACACGCCTCCGATTGGCGCACCGAATGCAGCGGCCACACCAGCGGCAGCACCAGTGCTGATAAAGTCACGACGATCGCGGTCATTGTGATACCTCCAGAACAGCTTTGGATACCACTTGAATGTCTTGGACTTGACCTGGCCGATGGCACCACCGACCATGCTACCAATGTGGATCATTGGACCCTCTGGTCCGAGCACCAGGCCAGAGGAGTAAGCGAATATCAGTGATACTGCCTTACCAATCAATGTCTTGGCGTTCATTGACTGTGGGATACGGATACCATTCAGGTAGCCCTTCACCTCGGGTATACCTGAGCCTGAGGATATTTGCTAGATTCATTGATTGATTGAGTGAGTAAGTGATGTGAATGATTGAATGGATGGACCAACGAGTGGATGGACTTACGCCGACTGGAATGATGATCAAGGATGCAAGTACTCCAAACAAAAGATTGATTGAGTAGTATACAAAGAAGGCTGGGATCTTCTTGCCCTCCTCAGTATATCTCTCGGATGTGCTGAACTTGAACTCATTGACAAACTCAACAGACTGCTTCACAAGGTATGCAACACAGCCTACGACAACTCCGATCGTGAAGCATATCGCCCACTTGCCGAATGTTTTTAGCATGTGACTCTGAAGTAGTAGTAGTAGTAGTACATGTTAGTCGGACATCGTGGCGGTACCATAAGGAATATCAGCACTTACGAATATGGTCGTCTTTTTCTGGAAGTCGCGCATGATCTGGTTGTCGATGATGGGGAAATCGAGTGATTCGAACTTGGACATCTTGACCTTCTCAAGCTCGGTGAAGGTGTGCTTGCCTCTTGAGTGAGTGAGACCTGAACTCTTGTGACTATCATGATGGTCATCATCGTCATTTGGTCGCATGTCCTCATCAATGTTGTCATTGTCATATTCATTCTCATTATTCCTGTTGGACATCATTATTGGTGAGTCCATCTGTTGTTGTTGTTGATGTTGTTGGTGTGGTTGGTTATGTTGTAAATGAAGATGATGTATACTATTACTATTGTTGTTACTATTATTATTATTATTACTATATTGAATACTATGCCGACTTGATGTTGTCAGAGGTGCATGATGTTGTTGTTGTGTATTGATTGGATCATTCATGAAAGGGTTGCTATCAAAGTAATCATTGTGCTCTGATTGTATATCTGGACTACCCTCATCGTCCAGATGTGATGTCATAAACTGTCTATTCATCTCAAAGACTAACGTGTCACTTATTGGGGATGGCTAGTCGAGACAAATTCAAGAATGAATGAATGAATGGTTGATTAATTGATTGAATGAGATTGTGTTGTTGTAATCATATATAAATATATCTATATCTATATATATATATATATATATCTATATTTAAATGTATGTAAGTGTAAGTGTTATTGAGATGTCTTCGAAGATACTAGATACTGTTGTTTGTTCGAGGTAGTAGTCGTTTGCAGTTGACAAAGTTGGAAACAGAACAATACATCTACTTTTGAAAAAAACCAAAACACCTTCATTCTCTGTTTGTTGGGAGTTCAACTCCCCACCTTCGTCATTATGGAATCAGGTCCTTCTTGAGCTCATCAATCGGGAATATCTATCAAACATTTAGAAACAGATTATGATTAATAATATTACAAATCATAGTAAACCAAATATCTTTTATGTATTTATTAATAATCATAAGAATATTATAAAATATTCGATGAGGAAAAACAAAAACATGTTAAATAAGATATTTTTTGATTGGATAGATGTTCCATTTTTTTTCAACCAAGGTCAATCAAAATTAATGATGTGATGATCACAGCAATACAATTGCATTACCACCTGTTAATTTAACATCAATCAAACTCCATTTCAATTTACTTTACTTTACTTTACTCAATATATATTTTACAAACAAATAATAATGAGATACACAACAACAACAAATATTGTTGTTGGATCACTTGTGATCATGATGATGATGATCACAATGGTCCACTCATCAACACCAACACCTTCTGGATATAAACATGTTGGTAACAACCCTAGACGTGCACCTTTGCTACCACATCACCACAAGTTGGAAAGAGGGACACAGACATGCCCTTGCTCAAACGCCTCGCTCTGTGATCCACTGACGATTGGACCACGCAAGGAGTTTGTCGGCTTCACCACGGCCCAAGACGCATGGACCACCTACAACCTGGCGCACCTGACCACCCTGATCATGTTTACCGACCCAGACCCCCAGATCATCTGCCAGGCTCACGCGGCTGGCGCGCGCATCAGTGTCGGCGTCGGCTTCGACGTCTCCCAGATCTTCAACGAAACCTACAAGGAGATCTTTATAGCCAACACCATTGGTGAGGTCACCTACAACTACTACGACGGCTTCAACATGGACTTTGAAGCGACCCTCTTTGCCAACCAGTCGATGGAGTCGGCATTGTTCACCGAGTTGATGATCGAGCTCGCCTACCAACTCAAGCAGATCAACGCCGGCTACCAGGTCTCGATCGACCTGGCCCCCGGCCCCTACTGCTACTGGAACCGTTGCTACGACACATTCGGCCTGTCACAGGTCAGCGACATTATGATCGTCATGGACTACGACATGAACATCAACGGCCTGGCCGGCGCCAACTGCGACCTGCCCGAGCTGGTCTCGGCCACTTCCGACTACCTGGCCATCCACGTGCCCCCCGAGAAGATCATCAACGGCTACCCCTGGTACGCCTACAACTACACCTGCCAGAGCAACATGACCCTGGAGACGCGCAACTGCTACTACGACACGACCTACCGCTGGCAGTCCTTCTACATCAACCAGCTGACCTACTCCCAGATCGTAACGTTGCTCAACACATCGATCACCACCAGCGGCATGCAATGGGACGACGTGACACAGACCCCCTTCTTCAACTTTGTCGACACAAGCTCCAACACCGTGCGCCAGATGTGGTTCGACAACCCCGATTCGCTCACCATCAAGGTGCAAGCTGCCAAGAAACTTGGCGTCGGTGGTGTTGCCGTCTGGCTCTTGGACGACGTCGATCCATACAACCAGCCAACAGAGACTGCAGCAATGTGGAATGCAATGTACTCATTCTTTGATTGATCGAATTGTCCAAATAAAAATTGATCATCATGCATATTAAGTTGATTGATTGATTGATTGAATGGTTGTATATATTTGTTGGTATTGTACATAATTGAATGAGACAACTACCAATGCTGGTCGGAGTAGCATTCAGCGGGCAGCGGCTCGTCGAATACCTTTTTGGATACCTCGTAGCCGTAGCGTGTCTTGACACTGGGTATCATGTCGCACAAGACCCTGAGGGCATCCCATTGTTGCTCGTTGATCTCTTCCTCGCCATCCCATTTGGACTGCTCGTGATTGATGTGAATGATATATGATGCGGGCTGCACCTTGAACTTGAAGCCCATGACAGCCATCGTGAACACTTGTGAGTTCTTGTCAAAGCCGTAGCCCTTGAAGCGCTCGTCAAACAGCTCGGACTGCGAGCGGTTGAACATCAAGTATGGCTCGTATATCCACTTGTACTCCAACTCATAAGCTTCGCTCTCCTTATACCAACGATTGTAATTGGTTGGTGAGTGACATCTTGGGCAATACCTCATATCTGTTTGTGTTGGAAGGAGTCAGTCACATGATTGATTGATTGATTGAATGATTGATTGAATGATTGTGATGATACATACTTGATGGCGATACCAGATCCTTATTGATGAGTTCAAGTAATGATGCCTTGTCATCTGGCAATAGGTTTGGCTGGTAGGATGATGAGAATGATGGGAAGACAAAGGCAACCTTCTCACCAGTCTCCTGTACTTTTTTGATGTATGGCAACATATAGTCGTGTGTGCCAGCCGTGATGATAAAGTCTGCGTCCATCAGCAAAACAAAGTCAGTGCGCGAGTTGGTGATGGCCAGGTTGCGCAGATTGTTCACTGGATAGCGTGTCTTGTTGGCATGCAGCAGATGAATGTCGGCAAACTCGCGCAGCAATATGTTGCTGGACAATATCTTGTCGAGTTTGGGAAGATCGTCATTGACGTCGCGAATGAACAATGCCACCGAGATTGGCGCGCGCCAGCGATCGGCCATCAGTGCGATCCTGTCGAGACGGTCAACCGACGACTGCGTGACGATTGTGACATGGTATTTGTCCTTGTGCTCCAATGATGCACTGTGATAGAATGGCTGCGTCTTGAATGTGGCCACCAGACCGTGGAAGAACTCTGCCTTGGGCTTGCGCTTAAACTGTCGCATGGACTCCTCCTCTGGGCTTCTCCTGAGTACCCGGTCGCCCTCAACATTTGCACGTCTCTGTGGTTGTTGTTGTTGTTGTTGCTGTTGTCCATTTTGTTGATGCGCGACATCCGACTCGTTCCCAGATCGACGCATTGGTATATACACCAGCAAAGTACACAGCAACATGAAAACAATCAATGCCAAGTGTAAATGTTTGCCTTTACGTCTTGATATGATGTTTCGTAAATTCATTTTCTCTGTTGTATATGTATATATCTGTATCTCTATCGCTCACATGTGAGTTTAGGTAATGAATTGACTTGTCAAGTTAGGGTTCTTCTTGTTGACTCAACAACTCAAATCAAACGCACACACTTTGTCTTGATGATGAAATTAACGAATAAAAAATGAAAAATTATTTATGTTGTTTTTGAGGCAACCCAGGCGGGTCGTGGTCCAACGAACGCCAGACTGCCTAAAGCACTACTTCTTCCTCCTCCAATTTATAAATGTATCTTTATTCAAGCTAGATCTAATCATCTTACCAACAACTTCCATTCAACAAAGACTACTAATTGAACCAACACCTTCTTTGGTTATCTTGATGATCATTTATTCAATCAATCAATCAATCAATCAATCAATCAATCAATCAATCAATCAATCAAACAGCCAGTATTATGCAAAGATATGAATTGTTATTAATAAATGTTTAGAATTATAGTTAACTAAATAAATAAATAAATAAAGATAAACAAGATCTGGAAAGATCATGTTTGACCAAACTATTGACCCGTTCCGCCAATAAATGCAACCCACACAATGCCTGCCCAACAAAGAGGCCTACTCTCTACTTAAGTAGCCTTTGTCCAGGGTATAGATATCTGCACACCAGGTCAACAATCACCAACAAACAAATAACCACTAAACTAAACTCCCCCTTTACTGCAATCCAATTTGAATGAATTGGCTTTGAAGAGGCTCTTGCTTGCCTCCACTAATTTATTTTTAATTTAATAAAAATATCCATACCTTTAAAAATTGAAATTTCAATGGGCCATCTCCCTATTGCCATGGATGTCTATGTCTGGAGATAGGTCAGTGATATGGTTTTCTACTTATGGGCATCGTTCACACCATTATTCACACAAACTTTGAGGCAGCTGATCACCACCCTACTCGCACACACACTACCACCGACAGGTTGTGATGAAATTTCTGTCTTGACTCACAAAAAATCACAACCACATGGAAAAGTGGCTTCGTTTGTGCGATGTCTTCCCTTCAATCCTCCAACTTACAATAGACGTCTTTGTGATGTCTTCAACACATGATCTCAATACCATCCATTTCACATTCCATCCCAACTTCTATCACATTATAACTTTATTTATTTATTTGTATTTCGAAACAGAACAGTTAGTTATTATTGTTTAGTTTATTCACTTCATCACCTACCTTCATCATCAGAATAAATAAATAATAACGAATATATGAAAGAATCTATCCTAGTTTAGTTATATTATATATTATACTATTTTTTTTTACCCTCCTTCCTCCTCCATCTACAACAATCAATCAAATATATATATTCGAGGTAAGTTTGATCAAACTAAGTCAATCAAATATTTATTTGTCGTTGTTCTTGTCCTCTTTGTTTATTATCGTATGTTTGTTTTGGTGTGTTGTTGTTTGCGCTCTAATAATATCACTTTCACAATCACTTCACAACAACAACAATCTACAAACCAACTCCATCTACACGCACACCAACACACATTGACGTTGACAAAGAGATAGAGTGTATTCCTTTCCTTTCCTTTCCTTCCAGCAATGACGTTGTTATCCCTCTTCTTGTTCTTCTTGTTGTTGTGAATTTTAAAAAAAAATATTGAGTCACATGTGATACATGCCCGCCAACCCCCACACAAACACATAAACACCCCTACAACAACAATGGTGTTGGATGGTGTTGGCGGGGATGGGGGTTATCCATTCACATTCCTTTGTGTGTGTGTGTGTTGTTGTGTTTGAAAGAGAAAGAGATAGTGTTGTGTGTGTGTTGTTGTTATTTCAATTCCATTCAATTCCAATGTGAGCGGACTTGTTCTCATCTACCCTCTCTCACTCACTCATTCACGTGTTGTTGTTGAATGTTGTTGTTGTGTGTGTATCAATGACTCTTTAGTTTCATAGTTTAGTTTAGTGTTTAGTTTAGTTTAGTTTAGTTGTTGTAGACAATTTAATTGGACATGGAGGAGTAGCATTGACCAGTCAAGTCCACAAATACAAATACATTTACAAATAATAACATTGTACATATAATATATATATATATATATATATATATATATCCAATAATTTGTCATCACATATTTATGGTGAAGAGTGCAAGTGCCCATTGCACCTGTCATTATCTATCACAATCACAAATCATATTTATAATATACACTTAATACCTTCATGTACATAATAATAACCAGTTTACATTAATTAACAAACAAATTACATTTAAAATAGAATAGACAGAGATACAATAATGCACCAAGTACTACAATCAACTGGTATTACACCATCGCTCGGAGGCTCTTCCCTGCACTCCCTTCTATCTCATGACATGTCGGGCGACCGCATATCCTTCTTCACAAACAATCCCTTCATTGTAAATTCAACAACAAACACCATGGACACAATCAGCAGCAGCAGCAGCAATAAGAAATTAAAGATTCAACATTTCAGTGAGCCATCTTTCTCTTCTTCATCCTCCTCCTCCTTTTCAACATCTCCATCGTCAACTTCCAAGTTGATGGACATCCTCAACCCCGCCACCGACGACGAATACAGCAATGACACAACCTCCTTCCAACAATTTGAGCCACGTGTACCAAGATTGTCCACATCGGCCATTCACATTGGCAACAACAGTGCCAGCAACGGATCAACTCTCTGCTATTCACCTCCATCGTCCCCAATGGACCATCGTCTTCCTTTGACACCTTCACAACTCTCTGCCAACTCCAACACCAACATGGTGCACCAATGGATGCAAGAGCTTGCCAACATCAAGAAGCGCGAGAACTTCCTCTTGGAGAGTCTCAAGTGTGTAGATGCCCCTCGCAGCCAATCACCACAGCAACTTCAGCAGCAGCAACAACAACAATCAGCTGACAACAAGTAAGTTGCAACATTCATATATTCCATTTTGAATCAATCAATATCTAATATCTCCCCTCTTAGACAATACATAACAATCGTTAGACAACCTTCCGAGATGGTCATCAGCAATAGATACATCAATCCATCACCATATATGTCTGTTGACTCTGAACTGCTGTCGAGAACATCAGGCCAGCTGACAGTCCAGGCCAAGTTGACCTACCACACATCTTCACACCCGGTCGTCGCCAAGCAATCCGAGGATCGCCAGGATGTCCTCCAAGGTATCCTCTCACAAGACGTTGACAGAAGCAACGGCGTCGTCGTTTTCAACAAGCTAAAGGTCTGTGAGGTATCCTCCAAGCACAACCACCAATCCTTCTGCCTCGAGTTTACCCTCTACGAGCAAGGCCAGCAGTTGGCTCGCGCCACATCCTCCCCATTCCTTGTTTTGTCTCGCTCTTACAAGCGCAAGAAGGATGAGGACCAGTCCACCGACTCTGACTCACAGGAGCCCTCGTCGCCCCACTCTGTCTGCTCTTCCTCTTCCGACAACGAGCCAGTATCGCCAACCCAGAGCTCTGGAGCCGATCCAAACTACATCGACATCACCGATCTCCTTGTACTGCCCCAGAAGGAGGCCGCCGCTCGTCTTGGCATCTCCGAGTCCATGCTCTGCAAGCGCTTCAAGGAGTGCACCAGAAGGAAATGGCCATACCGCTACCTGCGCAAGATCGACAAGGTCATCAAGGTGCTCACACTCTCCTCCAATGGCAACGAGATCACCAAGGAAGAGCAGGCCAACCTTGAGAAGCTGCAGCGCGAGAGGGTTGAATGCCTTCTTCCTGTCAGAATCAGAATCACCGGCTGTCTGGAGAAGGACGACGATATCAGGTCGTCTGGTTCTCCTAATCAGCTCGTGCCACAGTTGCCAAGCAAGACTAGCGTGACCGCCGTCACCCTTGCCAGCCAAGAAGACACTGCCGCCGCCACCGCCAGTGCCAGCATCTCCTCTCTCCTCCAATCCACCGCCTCGTCGCACGCACCAGCCAACTCGGAGCGCGACAGTCTGGAAAACATCTTGGAGACATTGGAGATGTTGAAGCACAACCGTCACTGAGAGCGTGAGAGCCCGAGAGAGATCTAGAGGAGCTCCACCACGACGACGACGACGAGTCTGCCCACTCGCCGTACGTCCCACTACTTGGTGCATTGTCGAATATCGACATTGCACACTCGTACTATACATTCCAGTGCGCTCATTGATTCCAATGGAAGAACAGGATAATGGATTATCTATTTGCCTTCTTTCTGCCATATAGTTTCAAACGACGCCACTGGACCAGTGGGATTGCTCGATGCAATATGCTATCGCTGCAAGCCTACGCCTCTCCTCCTCTGCTCCCGTCTCAGTCACTCAACTCCCCCTACTCCCCTATCCACCAACTCACAACCAACCAACCAACCAGCCTACTACTTCCCGCCGACCCTCACCTCAACCCCCTTTGCTATGTCAACTAGACCTTTGGTCAATATCCTTCATCTTGGACCCAAATGGCTTTAATGCCAGCCAACCAACCCCCACCCAAACACCTTCCATCACCTCCCCCAACTCCAACCAACCAGCATGGGCGTGTAATATACACGCTCATTGCACATGGTAGATCCTCTGTTGATTTTGTTGTAACGAAAACACAACCAGCGGTTCTACTTGGTCAGCTGCAGAATACCGAGAGAGCTCGTCCACCTACACACGAATCCCTAGACAACGCCACCCCCAGAAGCCTCGCGCCCTACCCCTCCCAGCGCATAGCGAGGCTTCTTCAATATGGGTTGTCTCTTTTGTCCCGACCCGTCCCGTCACTGCCATAGGCAGTGACTGGATCTTAGTGTCGGCGATGAACGGACTTGATACAAGTCAGAGATCTCGCGCTACACGTGTGTACTTGGCTTGCACTCCCGAGTTTCAAGCTTTCCATTGTGCATCATTGCCATCCACCGTACGGTGTGGATACCAATGGTGTGCATCATGTGACCCCACATACTCCTTTCACCTAAGTCCAAGTATCCAGGCTAATAACCAATCTAGTTTGACACTAGTCCAAAGTTAACCTTGTAATAAATTAATAACTCCATTCCATTTCCAGCTTTAAATTAAGAGATAAGATATCTTTGATTGAATGATTGATTGACATGTTTATTGTTCGCTCTTGGTCTCCTCTTCTGTCTTTGGGACCTCCTCGGTAACTGTTGCTGATGGGACTTCTGAAGTTGGAGCCTCGGTTGTTGTTGGCTCAGTTGTGGCCTCAGCTGGAGTTGAAGAGGGCACTGTCGTTGTCTCCTCCTTTGTTTGATTGGAGGTTGTTGTCTCAGCGGCATCAGCAGCTGTTGTCGTTGTTGTTGTGGTTGATGTCTCCGGGATGGTCGTCGTGGAAGGTGCTGGATCAGATGATTGAGTTGTAGTAGTAGTGGTTGATGTGGTGGATGGTGCAGCGGCAGGGGCAACAGGATTGGAGTCATGCTCCTTAACTGCCACGCGATAGTGAACCGACTTTTTGTTGAAGATTGAATAGGTGTTGTCCAGTACGAATATATAACGACCTGCCTCATCAACCTTGTAAGATCCAGCGTTGTATTCATGTTGAGCAATGTCCAGTACAGTGACATTGCCAGCGGCTTGCTTTCTTGATTTGCCCGGTGAGGTTGGCGTGTCGGATGATGAAGTTGGTGATGATGGTGCTGGGTTGGCCGCCTTCTCAATTCCAAATCCAATGTCCATGGACTCGCAGATGAACTCCCATTCAATCATCTGTTCGGACTGAAGCTCGCCAAGATCGACGCGCAGTGCGTCCTTGGCCTTGATGATAGCACATTCAATCTTGTTGGACTCCTCCGTGCTCATGCCGCCGTACTTGGTGGGCAACGACTCGGCATCGATGAACTGGAGCAGCTCCTTCCTGTATGTCTTGTTGCCGCAGACGATGAACTTCTTTCTGGTGCGCTCGTTGGAGAAGGCCGTAAAGAAGCCATACAGCTTCTCAAAGAACCAGGGCACGTTGATGAAGAACTTGCGCGCCAACATCTCTGGGTAGTTGTCCTGCAACAATTGGATGGTCTCGCGGCTTGCCTGCTTGGTGCGCTTGTCCATGCCGAGCATCGAGACGTCCTTGTAGTCGTGCACAACGACCATGTTCTCCTGTGACCAGCCGCCCGCGGCAAGCTGGGCGATCGCCGACTCCATTTGGGCCACCTTCCAGCGCAGGAACTGAGTGACGCCGTCCTTGAAGACGGTGTCCACGTCAATGTTGCAGTAGTAGTTGAACATCACGGGACGGCCCTCCTTGTCGGTCCTGTATATCTCTCCAATCTTTGCGTAGTAGTCGGGGAACTGCTCCGATGACAACGACTCGATGTTGAACTCCTTGCGCCACGCAAGACACTTCTTGAACATCTCGTACGACTGCTCCAACTTAAAGTCACGTGCTCGCAAGAATTTCAAGCAGACAATATCACGTTGAGCACTGTCCTCCTCCATGTCGACAGTCCACAACACAACATGTTTGTTGTTGTTGTTGTCCTCTGTCAAACCCAACTTTGTTCTCAAGTCATTCTTATCATTCGTCAATCTCGTCTTAAACTCCTCCAAAGTCTTCTTCTGATCATCGTTCAAATCACCTGGGAATCCACTCATTCTCCTATATCTTTATCTCTTTATCTCTTTATTCGTATTTATATATATTCCAAGTGACAAGTTGTTCATTCTGTCTGCAACACTTTCACCAAATGTGGGCATCATCGCGAGAACATTTTGTGGTCAAACTATGATGTTCATTCTCCAACACATCATTTGTATGTGTAATGAATAATAATAATACAGATAACATATTCAATGCACGATCGAATTGATAATACTGCCCATTGTGAAACCTGAATCATTCTAGGTCATTACACTTTAATGTTTGATGATCTTCATTCTGAACCTCAGGTATTCATATTACTCATATATAATAGTGTAACAGATTTAGTATGCAAGCACGAATAATACATTTCTTTGGCATCCGGCCAGCCACGGACTGAAAACTGAGTTAAGGCGAGGATGGCGATCTTGGAGTCAAATACGGAAGAAGGAGGGAGGGAACAAGGTTCCGAAATGGTCATAGTGGCGGCCAGGCAAAGACCAACAACTAGGCATTGTAGCAACACTTCATTCACGAATGGAAACACAGATTATGGACTCGTCATGGCGATGATGACTAGCGTCTACTCGATGAGCAACATAGAGATTAAGAAGAACAATGCGGAATACGCATTCTTCTTCAACTACGTTAACAATGCCACTCTGACCAACAACCAGCTCACACCTTTGGGGGGTAACACAGGCATCTTGTGCGCAACGTCATCGATCATATTGTCCAATGTAACGAGTAACTTTGCCAGCACCAACTGCACCTTCACCAGCTTGGGTTGCAATGTCACTGGAAACACAGACACCCTGTGTCATCTATTACCTCATCGACTCTCACCTTTGGAAATTGCAGGTATCGCCGTTGGTAGCACTGTCGGCGCAATAATTCTCGTGGTGGCCATAGTTCTCATTACCAAGCGAATAAAGAGAGCCCGATCGTCATACAACCAAATCAATTGATTGATTGATTGATTGTAAATAAAGAAAACTCGACATGGCTCTTCACTTTTAAATAACATCACCATTTTCCAATTGTTTAATCATTCAATCAATAAATCTTACAATCACAAGACAAATGGAATTAGTCCATTGGTTGAACTTATGTATGATATTCATTCACTTTATTGTTTGAAAGAGTAAATAATCATGACTTGATGGAGTTAACAAAATTGTCAAAGTGGATGGTGACAGGTAGACCACAATCCTACAAACAAATAAATAAACTCTGAGAATACGATTGTTCAATTTTTTTGATCTTGGTTTATGGTGTGACTGTTGATAAAACTGTAGATGTTGACATCTGATAGTTCATTCATTTTGTTATTATCATAATTAATATAAACATATATAATACATATATATCATATATTATATATATATATACAATATAAAACAAGTTATATATACGACGACAACAGGAGGAGGTGACAGACAGACTGGCTCACATTGGGAGAGAAAGAGAGAATGTACAATATATTTAATAGAAAAAGAGGAGGTGGTATAGGAGGTACATTGCTCAATATCAATCTGAAATGGATGATCATGACAATGTGCTTTGTCAATGTTGTCTACCTGTTCTATATGTGGGGCGCGAGGGACAGTGCCGTATGCTACCCTCCACCAAAGGCAGAGCGCCACGTGACCAAATACAGAAACGGCGCAATCTCACCCAACCTGCTGTACAATAACGACTTTGCTCAGAACTGGGTGGCCTGGCGACATTACGGTCGCTACCGTCTGTCTCACTTTTCCAACGGTGTGACACGCGCCACCAATAAGCAGCACCCAATACATATGCTGGCGATATACGATGGCGATTTCATTAATGCCACGCCAGACCTGCCGTGGAACGGCGTGCTGCAGCCGGTCGACCTGCGTGACCACACCTCATTCATGGGCTCGGGCTACTACGAGCTGCGCTTCGACGTCGACTACATCAACCTCAGCCTCAAGGGCAACCTCAACATCAAGATGCGAGCCGTCACAAAGGACTTCACACCGATGGATGCCCACACCACCGACAACGTCTTTTCCGTACCCAACACGGACGGCAGTGGCAACCAGCTGATGAACCCGAAAAAGGGCGAGGTGCTCAGTGATGCTGTCAGCCACTTCCTGCGCGAGCATCAGAAGGACCTGCACGTGCTGACATCGCGCGCATCATTGGTCATGTACTCAAAGAAGCCTCTCAACTATGTCACATGCTACATCTATCCCGAGGTGCCAGGCATCGTGTTGATTTCAAACACATCGCTCACTGTCCGACATGTCGACTACAAGGAGGATCCAAGCGTCAAGGTGAACATGCAGCGTTTCGAAAAGGATGACAGTGCCAAGTTGTCTGAGAAGATTGGCGACGAGTTCAAGCTGAGGGACTTGATGTGGGAGAAGCGCAGAGTGCAACCATTCTACAGACAGTCCACGCGACACTTTAACAAAAAGACCGATACGACAATCACAGCACAGTTGGACGTCTCGCGATTCTCACGTTTGATCGAGTTGTGCAAGCAGTGGGATGGTCCCATGTCCGTGGTGATCTATATAAAGGAGCAAAAGGACATCAGAGACCTGAACACCTTGCTCGAGGACAGAGCCAACATGGCCGCACTGGAAAATGTCGACATCCATCTGGCGCACAAGAGGGAGCTCAATGAGAATCTATATCCAATCAATGAGCTGCGCAATATTGCCATCGAACTGAGCAAGACCGAATATATCTTCACGATCGATGTGGACTTTGTAGTGTCCAATGGTCTGAACCAGCATATCAAGAGCCATCTTCAGAGCACAAACTACCCAGTCGACGTCTTCTTTGTGGTGCCCGCGTTCGAGCTGGATGGATACTCGATGGAGAACACCAAGATATTCCCAAAGGACAAGAGAGAGTTGGTCAGTCTCCTCAAGCAGGACAAGGCTCGACAGATCCTTGCCGCCTCATTCGAGGAGGCGCACAAACCAACCGACATTAACAAGTGGATCCGTGCCGAGAGCACGTACGAAGCGATCTACTCTGAGCACTGGGAGCCATTTGGTGTGGTGCATCGCTCGGCCATCAAGTACGACGAGCGCTTCGCCGGCTACGGCTGGGACAAGGTGTCACACATATACTATCTTCACAAACTGTCGTTCCAGTTCCTGGTGTTGCCCGAGGCATACACCATACACATGGAGCATGCGACTTCGACGTCATGGGCCAACAGGACCACCGCCGACAAAGAATGGATATTCAGCAGTTGGTTCGAATCGATCACAGAGTTCAACTTCAAGTACTTCCCGCAATACTTCAACCCGATTGATATGAAGAATGTGGCGACAATGAACCACGATCACAACAACAATCACTGGTTCGACCATAAAGTATAATAATATAATAATAGATATAGCGAAGCGCCAACACCTCATCAGACTGAGTTGAGTCCTATTCGGGATAGTTTATTAGAAGGTTGAGGAGTCCTCTGACCTATTATTGTTTGTGGTTGTCGATCCACCTCTGGTGCTGTTGTTGCCAGACATGTTCTGCATGCTGGTGTTGGTGGAGCCTGTTGATCGGCGCATTCCGCCAAGATGTCCCTGGTTGTAAGAGATCAGTATACTTATAACTGGAATGATCTCGGTGATGATCAGTCCAACAAAACTGAACACAATGTTGGATGGCTCGGTGCCAACCAATATCAGAACAAAGATACAATGCAGAATGAATCCGACCGAGCATGTGGAGGCCACCAAGAAGATCTTCTTCTGGTACTTGGTGCGCTTGACCTGGCGCTCAGTCTGCTGGTTCTTTGAGCCCACCAGGTTGTAGATTGACCAGCCAAAGTAGACAAAGGCCGAGCCGATGATCAGAGATATCACCGCCTGCACCACCGCGTAGAATATTGAGACGGCGCGCTGAGGGGTGGTGCTGCTGGGGATGACAGTCATTCGTGCGCCGCACTCGCTAGCAGGCTGCTTCTTGGAGAAGTTGAACACCAACACAATGATGATGAAGATGATGTAGATGATCACGTTGATGACGATAATCATTTGTCTGAATCGTTCAAAGAACTTGACGTGTAGCTTCGAGCTAACAATGACATACCACAGCACGACAATGATAGAGAATGATGTGAAGTAGATGAATGTGGGCAATACAACAAGGATGTAGTCGGCCACCAGTGAGTTGGACAGCTTGCCAGAGGGCAGCATGAAGAAATAGATCGAGCGGATCGTGATGAACGTGGTGATTGCCAGCAGTAGGCCATGGACCAGCTTGAAGCGGACACTGTTGTGAATTAACTTGTAGCCGACAAACACTAGCTGGACGAATCCCCAAACGGCATTCACTCCAAAGAGCACAGCCAGAGTGTAGATGAGACCTGTGGTGGTCTGGTCAAACAGGTGTTTGGTGGCAGTGCGCCACTCTGATAATCTGATGATCGGGAAGTAGGTCGATGAGTCTGTGTTGTTGACTGTGACATTGGCACAAAGGTAATTGAGTCCACTTGCCACTGATAGGTGGAATGTTTGGAGACCAAGAGGGATTAGGGTCTTGGTATCATTGGCACTCTGTTGAGCAAAGTCGAGGATGGGGAAGTCTGAGGTGGTCGATCCGCCAAGCAGACAAAGGGTGAATGAGTCCACACCTTGGTGCTGGAGCTTGACTCCATCATTGAGAATCGTTCCAATATTGGCACCCTTATCATTGAATATTGCAAAACTACCAGGCTTCTTGTATGATACAAAGGCTGAGCTCAATGATGCTGTGGCCGTGGAGGTGTAGAGTTGCTTGCTAATCTGGGATACCAACACACTCACGCATGACAATGGCACTGATTGGGGTGTGAACAGGAGCTGTCCAATGTTGAAGGTGAAGTTGGATGATGACTGGGCACATGCGGTCGTCGTTCCAAGCAGGATTGCCGAAGAACCAAAGCATTGTGATCCTCCTGGTCCAGAGCAACTGCATGCGATTGAGTCCAGATTCTCTTGGAGACGATTCATTCGACACATGGCAGATGAGCGCATCAGGTCGACAAGACGTCCATAGAATGCATTCTGGATGGCTTTGGCAAAGCGGTCAAAGTCAAAGGTTGGACCCCAGGTGGTAGGCTTGACCGCACCACCCTTGATCCATTGAGCCTTGACCATGACACCTGGCATCCATCTTGCCTGTGTCCACGTGAACTTATTGGTCCATTGATGATCGCTGACCCCACAGCCTGTGCACTGACTTATATTCATCTCGTTGAATCGGTACTGATTGGCCAAAGCTGCATAGCTGCGGTCTGGCACCTGGCATCCCATCTGCTCCTCACATCTCGTCCTGTTGTTCTCTGATTGAGTCCACCACGTGCCACCCTGCTGCGTGCATTCTGCTTCATTGAAGACCTCTGGGAAATGTGCATAACAACCCATTGGGGAATCATTCTGCTCGTTCACCTTGCATGTTGGAGGGTCCATGTTGAGTGGGCGCGGGAACATACACTTGCCAAGACCGTCTGGATAGTTGATCGTGTTGGCCTGTTGGAAGAAGTATGAGTCTGAGCACACTCCAACATTATCACACTCATCCTTTGTCAGACATTCGTTGCCCTTGAGGTTGCACAAGTTAACTGGGCTGTCCTCAGGTCCCACTATAGACGCACATTCAGAGGTTGAGGTGATGGTGCTGCAGTCAACCCAGAGGTGTTTCTTGGATTGACATGTGGTCTTGTTCGTAGATAGTGCCAATCSGGCAGAAGCCTCTGTTGTCCCATATTCCACCAAGGACAAAGTTGAGACAATCGTCTTCAGTGATGTTGATCGGCTGGACGACACAACCGGTGAATCCAGCACATGAGTAGCCACATTTCTCGCTGCATTGACCTCGGGCTTTGCATTCGGATTCGGACAAGTTGGGCGCGTATTGTCCATTCGGGAGCAGACACACATTAGACGAGTTACATGCGCCACTGCTGCCAGAGAGATCAGGGAACTTGAAACAGGATGTTTGATTGTTTGGACAATAGCCACAGAAGTTGCCATTGGGACATGCAGCTGCCTGACATGTTGCGTTGTTTGGCGCACAAGTTGGACAGATGCTGACCTGTTCGCACTGTGTCTGAGTGGCCTGTTCGGGGTAGAAGCCAAAGCCACTAAAGTATCCATCGTAGCAAATGTCGTGTACGGTGAGACATGTGTTGTCCAGACAGTGTGGCGCGGGGTAGCAATAGTCCTGGATCTGTGATGACTCATATGTGCTGTACTTGCGATACTGTAGGCCAGTGTATGTTGAGCAGTCGTCGGTCAAGAACAACTTGTACATCTGATCGACCAGTGTGTTGATGTTCTGTACGCTTCCCAGACCAACTTGATACTTGAGGAAGTAGAGTGTGGCCGGTGTAGACTCATTGAGCACACAGTACAGGTAGGCCTTGTCCTGTGACACACGGCTTGGTTCACAGACCCTGCTGTAAAGGTTACAGCTGACTCGTTGTACTCCAGTGGCATTGTTGGTGTTACACATGTCATCATTCTCACAATACACGTCAGAGTAGACATCTTTGCATGATCTCAATGTCCTGTCAATGTTTAGACGGAACTCTTTGTAGTCCGACTGAGGAATAGTGCATTCTCCACGATTGATACTCGACAATGCATTGAAGTATTCATCCAAGATCGATGAAGTACATCCAACACTTGAACATTGTGCCTGTACAGCGTCTAAAGTAGTAGATTGATTGATTGAGTGAGCGAGTGGTTTATGATCAAACTATGAAGTTATACTTACTCGTTTGAACACCAAGGAAGATTGGAGTTGGTACGGATACATTCCTCTCACTGCAACATTGTACAAATTGTAGACCAGTGTTACAACATGGGTCGGAGAGGTACCTTGGATCAGAGCTAAGGTACTGACAAGTGGTAGTGGATTGTGTAGTCTGTACAGTTTGGATCGATAGTAGTTGATTGGCCTGTTCCACACATCCATACCATGGATCACGTAGAGTATGAGCATCAATCTCATAACGTAATGTCGATACATTAGAGTACAACGTCTCCTCAAATATCTTATTCTCCTTTGTCTTCATATCCTCCAATATCAACTGGTAATCAGTGTAATTACACTTGATCACTCCTTGTTGGAATCGAACTGGTCCCTCTAAGGCCTAGTGGTGGAGTGGGTAAGGAGGAGTAAGTATGGAATCATTCCAGACCACAATGATGATTAATACTAACATTTCCATTGGAGTCGATCAATCGGTTGGTGAAGGTAAGGGTCGAGTTGAGAAGTTTGTTGAAGTCGCTGATGACTTTGACTGATGGATACACGCTGTAGGATAGGAGGAATGCAGCTTGGAATGAGTTGGACTTGGGTGTGTTGATGGGCTCATTGAAATAGAGGTTGGAGAAGAAGTTGATATCACTAAATATTGGATTGGAGTATAATGGCACGGGTACTGGCCACAGTGGGTTGTTGTACAATCGAGGGAAGAGTACAGAGAATGAAGAGTCGCCCCAATCATTACAAGTGTAGACCTCGCCGTCTGGAGTAGTGAGTGTTGCCGATCCCAATAAATTGTATGATCCACCTCTCGGATAATTGCTTGTGATTGGTGTTCGCCACTTTGGTGCGCTGGAAGTAAATGTAAATGTAAAGTTGGTCTCATAGAATGAGTAGAACGCCAATATACAATATCCYTTGCTGTTCCATTCTCGAATGGTCCAATCTCGAGCAATCCTGAGTTCTCGTCTGAGAGTGAGTCGGGGTCAGGGGAGTAAGTATGGATGGAATTAATCCAGACTCAATCAATCAATTATTAATACTTACTTGTGTCAGAGATTGCCCATTTGAATTGCCCAGGGTTTGAGCTGGGGAGGTAGTTTTCGTCGGATAAGTATAACATTGTGCTCTGGTTGAGGTAGGGGACACCAATGGCCAAGGTCATTCTCTTGTCAACCACGAATGTGTAGAATGTGTATGAGTCCATGTTGTTGTGTACACCTTTGACTTGCTCACCATCATTGATACATTGATGTGTTGGCAACACCTGTGTACATTTAGGCTGACTGTTATCAATCTTGTTGACGGGTCCCGAGTACAAAGTCAATGAAAATGATACCATTGATGAGTGAGGCACCACTGTGAAGAAGAATGTACCATTGGTCCATGATTGGAATGGATAGATTGGAAGATTATCCGAAGGACATACGTCCATCACCGTCAACATATCCGACATTTCCAATCCAGTATACCTTGCAATCAATGTAGTCTCCGCGCCCTTTGTTCCCTCATACAATGTCACGTCGCCCTGATCCTGGCCAATGTAAATCTAACAATAGTCATTGATTGATTAAGTGAGTTAGTCAGTGGGAGTGAGTGAGTGGAATGTTTCCAGACTCAGACATACCCTTATTCCTTCGCAATACTTGGTGTTGGCTTTGTAACGGAATGACATGTTTTGAGTGACGTTGTCAAAGCGATAGGTTTGATTTGCTTGGATTGTGGTCCATGTGTCATTGCATCGATCGTAGAATTGTCCACTGCCAATTGTTGTGCGTGTTGGACATGTTGGACATGATGGATTCAACTTTTTTGGACATTCATTGTGATCGGTGTAGTCACAGGTGCAGTCAATCGTTGGAGGTGCTGGGCATGTGAAGTTAGGACATGTCACGACCTGATTGAAGTAAAGCTCACTGTCAAATGCAATGTCAATCAATGCAAAGTTCATATCAACGCCCAACACATTTGTACTCTTCTGGACAATTGTTGCTGATTGAATATTCATTGCTCCAGCGCTGGACACCATAATCATGAACAACACTAGTGTGATTGAGACAATCCATCGTTCCATGATATGATCGTGTTATGACTGGTTGATTGATTGTGATTAAGTGAATGGAATAAATACAAATAATAATAATAATAATAGTACAAATAATTAAAAATCAGAAAGGAATTAGTAACAAGTGATCAACCAATCAATAAATCAATCACATGACATGACATGACATTGAGTACAATGATCAACTCAAAGGGGGATGTTCTTGATTGGTTATAAGGTTGCACACAATCATCCATAGAATTGTTGTTGGAGTTGATGAGCAGGAGGACCTGGTGCACCTTATTTGTTGAGAGTTGATGAAGATGACAGACTATTTAGATTGAGATGGTTTCGTGTTTGTGTGTTAGGACCTATCTATCCTCGTAGATTTAATAATGTCCTCATGAGGATATGGGCCTAGTTCGGGCCTAGATGGGGGTCGCAAAGTAATAAAGCGATAAAACTTTTAAAATATCTGTTTGATCAAGTGTGATTAATTGTGTCAGTGTTGTGTGTGGATGTGGGTGTTTGATGGGTCATACTTGCACCGAAAGATCAATGTAATCGTTAGAGTATGTTGATGGGTTTTGGAGACTTTCCAGAGGGGCGATCACATCACGTGGTTGACCTGGCATGCCCCGAAACTTGTCTATTGCTAAACCTTTTTCCCTTTGCACCTATCTTGCATGTAGGTAGGAGGATAAGATCTCTCCAAGTTGGTCATGACAAACTTTTAGTTAGAGCAATGTTTGCTAGATGGAAACTTGCACCAAACAATCAAATATTGTGACCCGCCTTTCATCATCAAATGTTTGAACAGGTACAGCAGTGCAGTGCTCTACCTATTCCTATCCCTATCCCTACTCCTACACAATGGCCACACATCTGGTACCATACTTTAAGTCGTACGACATTGATATCCAAAACAAGCTTTGACAGTCTATGTACAAGTACATAATGTTGTTGGTGTCGCCTCTACACCAATTAAACTTAGATTGATCGATTGATGGATGGTCTCCTCATCATCTACGAATATGACGCGTCTTGTGTAAGAGTGTAGTGTACTGAATGAACATATATTGAACTGACTAAGGGGAGAGTGAGAGAGAGTGACTGTACTTCCTCATTGCTACATGTTTATATATATATATATCAATTGACCATTGACTGTCCGCGTACCTAACTAGCTACCAAGGCTTTTGGGTTAAATTCGGTCCAGACATTGTTAAGCTCGTCATGAGACATTGTTGAGACATGCTTCATCTGGACTGGATTGAAGTAGTTGGGGAAGTATTTGAAGGTGATCTCGGTGATTGATTCGTACCAACTGCTGAATATCCACTCCTTGTCCGCCGTGGTCCTGTTGGACCATGTGGTCGATGATGGGTGCTCCATGTGTACCATGTATGCCTCGGGCATCACCAAGAACTTGAACTCGAGCAAGTGTAGAAAGTAGATGTGCGACACCTTGTCCCAGCCATAACCTGCGAATCGCTCGTCGTAGGCGATGGTCGAGCGGTGCACCACGCCAAACGGCTCCCAATGGTGGCGGTGATGCGCTGCATAGAGCTCTTTGGCGCCCCTCCACTTGGCCACGTTGGTCGGGCCATGCGCCTCCTCGTAGGCAATGTCGAGGATGGAGCGTGCCCTTTTCTGTTTGATTAGACTGACCATCTCATTCTTGTCCTGGGGGAAAAGCTCGGTGTTGTTCATCGAGTATCCATCGAGCTCAAATGCGGGCACCACAAAGAAGACGTTGGTAGGGTAGTTGGTGATGTATAGGTTGTGCTTGATGTGATCGTTCAGACGATTCGACACGACAAAGTCCACGTCCACGGTGAACACGTAGTCGGTCTTGCTCAGCTCGATGGCAATGTTGCGCAGTTCGTTGATTGGGTACATCTTGTCTTTGTTGCCCGACTTCATGTACGCCAGATGCAGGTCGACATTGTCCAACTTCTTGGCAATGACCCAGCTCTCGAGCATTTTGTCCAGCTCCTTGACGTCCTTTTGCTCCTTGATGTAGAGCACCACGGACATGGGACCATCCCACTGCATGCACAGCTCCAGCAGTCGTGCGAATCGCGATATGTCCAGCTGCGCAGTGATTGTAGTGTCGGTTTTCAGATTGAATCGACGTGTCGATCGCTTGTAGAATGGCACCACTCTGCGTTGCTCCCAAGTCAAGCCTCGCGTCTTGAACTCGTCGCCAATCATCTCTGACAGTCTCGCCTTTTCATTGTTGTTGTTGTTGTCGTTGTCATTTTCATTGTCATATCGCTGCAGGTTCATCTTGACACTGGGCTCTTTCTTTTGACTGACGTGCTTGACGGTCAACGATGTGTTGGCTATCAGCGCAACGCCCGACTGCTCGGTGAATATATAGCAAGTAACATAATTGAGTGGCTTCTGTGAGTACATGACCAATGATGCGCGCGATGTGATTGAGCCCAGACTGTTGTGATTATCGTTCAGGAATCTTCTGATTTCTTTCTTTTGCAGCTTGGGCGACACCTCCTTTAGACGAAACACCGGATGGCCGCTACCATCCCCGTTGGGCACGGTGAAGGTGCTCTCTGTGTCAGAGATGTCCTCGGGCTCAAAGTCTTGATTGGATGCTCGCATCCTAAGATTGAGGTTGCCCTTTAGGTTGAGGTTGATGTAGTCGACGTCCAAGCGCAGCTCGTAGTAGCCGGCGCTCCGGAACGTTGTGTGATTGCGCAGGTCCACCGGTTGGAACAGGCCGCTCCAATGGAGGTCGTAACTTTGATAGATTGCCACAACGTGTCGTGGATAGGAGTGAGAGTTGACCGAGAAGTGACCAATGCGATTGTATCTACCGTACTCGCGCCAGCCTATCGAGTTCCACTCAAAGTTGTGATTGAACAGCAAGTTGCCCGAGCTGGCCATCTCGGGCGTTGCTGTAAGGCGATGCAAGTAGCGCTCTGCGTCATGCTTGAGTGGATGGCAGAGTGTATCATCCGTTCTGAGCAGGCCATAGAGCACGTAGGCTATATTAAGTGCACACAACAACACTACCAACAGCCTAACATTGACATTGATTATCGGTTTTCTTTTGTTTTGTTGCAACAGAGCATTACGCATATCTTATCTTTGTTGTTGTTTTTCATATATATATATATTATATATATATATATATATGTATGTATATATGTATATGTATGTATATATGTATTGTATAGTATTATATTAATATTAATACAGTGAAGTCCTTGGTTATTATTAGAATGATGATGAATAAATAAATGCATTAAGAGTTTTTGACTTAGGTCGTCTTGCAAAAAAATGAAGGTGGGATCAGGCAAGGGTTGACCAGTCGAGGGTTGAGGGCGAGGGTAGGGTAGGGTAAGGGTAGGGTAGGGTAGGGTAGGGTAAGGGTAGGGTAAGGGTTGAAGGCGAGAGCGAAGGAGTAGAGGGATGTCAAGAGATAATATTTATTCAATAGTTTTATTCAATTAATCAATCAATTAAATGATTGATTTGTAGGCTTCTGGACAGATGATTATTTTTGGATCGGCAATGGCATTCTTCCGAGGAAAGATATTCATGTTGTGTTTAAACTTAATGTATAGTTTGAAGAGATCACATATTGAATTGTTATTGTAGAATTTATCGCCCCATTTCCTTAATGTCTCTGGATTCTCTCGCCATGCGAAATACTTTCGATACTCTTCGTCGTTGTGATCCAGGTAAAGTAGTCGATCCACCAAATCATCGATTTTCTTGAAATCCTTAACATATATATATGATCCAGGTGGCATGTACTGTAATGTTGTCTCGTGACCCAAGTACACGGGCACTACACCATTCATCAAACATAACAGTGCCTTCTCCGAGATGTAATATGGACAGTTTGAATTCTCCAGTGCAAAGTAGAACTTGTATGTCTTCATCACTGCGATCTTGCTTTTGTCTCGTTGTTCAATCGTGTTATATCTTCCGCCTCCTGGCGGCTCGTCTTTGTTATGCAAACAGCCTCCATAGCTGTCGACGTGCATCTTGTCCATGACGCGACGCATGAATTTGATGCGCTCGCTTTCATTCTTTGATCCGCTAATCTCCATATTGCAGATGGTGGTGAACCACGATGCCACGCGGCCTGGTTGTCTCAGCTTCATTGCGCTCTCAAAGTTGAATGGTCTAGTCAGCTCTTGCTCGTAGAACTTGTCAAAGTCGGCTTTGAACAAGTATGACACGGTGATATCGGAATGTGGATATGGATGGAAACTGATCGTCCAGTTGAAGTACTCCATGCAGCTGGGTGTGCCAAAGCATTTGCCATATATGTTGCCGGCCGACTCGAGGCCATACAGCACCTTGACCTGGCGGTCAGGGTGTGGCATTGTGATCATCCAATCTGTAGTGGAGGCATTGAGATCCGATGCAAAGTAGAAAATGCCATCCACTTCATCTACTCTCGAGTGGTCATAAGTGAACTCGATAACTGTTCGATTGTATCCACATTGATGAACACCTGCTATTGGAGCTGGTCCGCCCCATTCATTATTGCCCAACAAGAACAATACCGTCTCATTGGTGTCAAGTAATACATTATTATTATTAATATTTTTAAGGTCCATCCGTAGAGTATCCATCATTATTTTAGCTTCATTGTCATCCAATAGTACAATCCATATATATATAACAGTGAGAAGTATTGATAGTAACAACATAAAACCAATCAATATTCTATATTTTGAAATTGATGAACTAGTTGTCGTAGTAATTGTTGTTGTTGGTGTGTCCATCATTATTATATATATATAATTATATAATTATATATCTCTCTTTCTCTCTCTCTCTTTTGTTACAATATAGAATCTCAGTCCCAACTATAATTATAATAATGTCTCTTCAATATCAAACGTCGATTCTTTTTGTCTGTTATTAATATTTTGGGAATCCAGTGAAAAATTGCCATATTTTAAGATCAGATCATAGAATGCCACCGAGGCTTGAACAACACCTAGTAGCATACGTTGCCCAACCCTTACCCTGGGTAACAATAGCCAATACAATCAGATTGCAATAATTATAATTTTATTATGGTGGACCTTGTCATACTCTAAGGACAACGTCAATGATTCTATATATATTATTACTGCTGGCTCAAGAATGATGCATCACAGAATGCCTTGGTGCAAGCGTTTGGCTTGGATGGGAATGTGACCAGAGAGTAACCCTCGACGTCACAGGTTGGGAACTCACGGGTGCATGCACCTGGCTTGATGCAGGCGGTGAACTTCTTGCAACGGTTAGAGTCACGGGTGTACACTGGGACCAATCCTCTGATGCAGTCAACGATGGGAACTGGTGGGCACTTCTCAATTGGGTCGAGGATGTTGACGTAGATGGCCTTACCAATGATGGTACTCTCAAAGATGTTGGCCTGGACAATAGCCTTGTATGGGATGGCAGTGTCCAACACCTTCTTGGACAACCAGTTCGAGTCAAAGTAAGCATAGTTGGAGTATGGCTCAATGTAGTTATCAGCAATGTACTGGTCACCTCCGTTCAAAGCGGTGGCCTTCCATGATGGGCTAGTTATATGAATTGATTAAATGAATGTGTTAGTATGAGATTGAGACGAATGATTGATTGACTGACACATACCATGGGGTGGTGATGCAGGCGATTCCAGAGTAGTCGACAAAGTAGAACTGTCCAGACTTGGTCTCTTGGTCCTCTGGGCTGAGTGGGAGCTGTCTAAAGGCATGACGAACGTTCAATCTTCTGATGGGGGTTCCACGGTCATAGTAGACAATGAGGTAACCATAGACGATGACCTCCTCGTTGGCAGCCTCAAAGATGACCGTTTGGTTGAGGTTTGGAGCGAAGGACAGGTAGTGGACGGTGATGTTCTGAGTCTCGCCATTGATGTCTGAGGCCAACCATGATGGGCATGGATCCTTAACACAGACGATACCAGATGATCTGAAGAAGTAGTAGTTGCCACTGATTGCAACAGAGGCGGCGGACTCATCCACATCAGTGGCAGAGACACATGACAAGAGGACCAAAAGGCAAACAAATAATGTTGGCTTGAACATTGTATTATTAATTATTTGATAAACAATGAATAGATAAATGGATAATTGATTAATTAATATATGTTTTGTTGTTGAGTCCTCATCTTGGACCTTGTCCATCCTTTTATACCTACCTCATTTGGAAACATCCAGACACGTGGGAGTAAGGCTGGAATACACGGAATGAGTGGAAGTGTTAGGGTGGAGGTGTGTGGATGTCATCGGATGAGTGAGTGAGTGGAAGGGGAAGGATGGATGGGCAGGGGCGGGGGTTATGTCTACCATCTTAGAGAACGTATAACTTGGTTGGATTCAGGTAATGTAGAACTAAGAAGGAAGGATATATATTATTACTCAATCTTGAGATTGTTGGTGTGTATGCATCTATCCATGTCATAAATATATATGTAATAATGTAATGTTGACACGTACGTCGTTTTGTGATAGTTGATTGGATACCCATATATGGATTTTGATTGGATGCCCCCGATGATTGAACGACTGTGTGTGTTTAAGTGTAACCACTGCGCGTCGGACTTGGGCCTGTCGAGTGATGGGGCGCAAAGTCAATCAAAATTGTGTTGGACGCGACCACGACCAACACCGGGAGGTTCCACAAGGGGATGTTGTAACGTCGCGTCGCCATTCGTTCGTGACCATATTGTCAATGACAAGAAGACATCATCATTCCCGAACACAGAGAGTTCGAATGCTGGGATGGAGGTAGGGAGGTAGGAAGGGGACAACACTGTTGTGTGCGCACATGGTAGGGCGCCACTTTATTCATTCGATTGGATGCTTATCGATTGGGCATATCTTGTTGACCTTGAGCCATTGACTTATACACTATAATAGGGATTGGAGTTAGTTAGTGATTGAGTGAATGAATACGTGAGTGTCCCAGAACATGTAACACTTACATCTGAATGGAAGATATGCAAACAGGGCAATCTCTTGACACGTTCGTCAACTTCCATTGGTGACAGACATATACAGCAGTTCTCCACTTTGCTGCCAGCTTGTATGTTGTGTTCGGGAAGGGTGTTGATGGAGGATTGTGTGGCACCCTTGTTGTTGTGGACATTGTCGTCCAGCCGCAGAAGCATTTCATAGTCATTCTCGTTAAAGTCCCTGGACGAATATGCCAGGTTCAGCATGTTGGGATCGACTCCTGCATGTCCATGATGATGGTGATGTCCATGGTGTTGATGTGGTTGTTGTTGTTGGTAATTCATTTGTTCCTGGTATCGCTGGTATATCCTATGATTCATCTGTCGTTGATGAACCATCTGTTGGTGTTGGTTACGACGTGTAGATGCTGCTTCCTGAATACCAAAGTCTGCAAGGTTTGGTCCAAGACCTTGTCCATGACCAAGTACATGACCCTGCCCTTGAGTGTTCTGTTCCAACGACAACTGTAGGGCAAGTTCAAAGTCTATCTCTTCTTGGGTGCGAGTGTCCATATGTGGCTCTGCCTCGACTCCCGCCAGAGGGTCACGATTGAGAAGAGACCGGAATAACTCCGTGGCACTGATGGTGCCACGACGCGTGGGAGGGGGAGGAGTGAATGACGATGCTGGTTGGAATTGGAGATGATTGGTTCGCTGATTGGTCGCGTTTCGTGTATTGCTTCGTGTTGGAATGCTCGTATTCTGTCGACTCTGTGTTGTCCGAGGATTCACAGACACTGAGACCATGTCGTGTCGTTGAGGTTGAGGTTGTATTTGTTGTTGAAGTTGTCTCTGCTGTCGTTGTTGCTGACTCTGATTCGTAAATAAAGAGAATGCATTGTTGTTGCTGTTGTTTGATGCACTGTTGGTCGCCTGTTGATTGATTATTGGCATTGGATGTTGAAAGAGTGACTCTGCTGCTTTCTTCTTTACAACATTTGATGTCTTGGCTCTGATTCGCTGTGGTGGCTCGACAGCAGCTGCCACTTTCTTTCGTGTGGATGCTGTTGATGTCATCCCCGGGTATGTAAGATGAAGATGATTGTTATTGTTGGTGTTGTTGTTGTTGTTGCTCCGTTTGTTTGTTGATGTTGATGTTGTCGAGGTGGTCGATGTTGTCGGTGAATTGTTCGACTCAAGGATGATGACATCATTGGGTGATCTGTTTCCTGCTGCTGTTGTCGTTGTTGTTGTTGTTGTTGTTGTCTTCCTCCGTGGCGACTTGAAACTATCCTCCTCCTCCTTCTTCTTCTTATTCTTCTCCTCATTGTATTCATTTAACAGATTGAGGTACTTGGGTAACTCATACTCTGGTTCATCATCTTCATTGTCATTCACTGTTGTGTTTGATGTACCTCTCTTCCTCTTTGCATTCGTATTTACATGGTTATTATTATTATTACTGTTGTTGATATTGTCATCCTCCTCTATACTATCATTCGAGGTATCCAAGACAATGGTGTTTCTCCTTTTGTTGACTTCCTCCTCATCCTCTGTGTCCTCATCGTCCACATATTGTGCATGAGTCGTCGCGGCTTGTTTAAAGTTGCGTGGAGTGGTACCATTCAATAGTTTGGCGAGATTGCTCTTCTTCTTGTTGTTTCCATTGTTGTGACTGTTGCCGTTGCTATGACCATTTCCATATCCATTTCCATTCGCCCTTGAAGAGCAAGTAGTAGTTGTTGTAGTTGTTGTCGTTGTTGTTGTGGCCATCTTGTTATCTTCGTCCTCGTCCACGTCCTCGTTGTTGTTGTTGTTGTTCCAGGATGGACCTTGTGATTGTTGTTGTTGATGATGTTGTTTATAATGATGATGTTCACCTACTCCACTACTGCTGTTGCTATTATTATCGTCGTAGCTATCACCCTGACTCTCGTAGCTACTATCCTCATTATCCTCGTCAGACAGATTATAAATGATTGGTGATTGTAATTCGAAATAGTCGTCCTCACTATCTGACATAATGTCCTTATTATCACATTCAAACACAATCTCAACCTAAATTATAATATCTATCTCTACCTATTATCCTATCTATATATCTTTGTATGTATCTTTGTATATTTGTAATATATGTTTATATGTATAATGAATTTGAATGTTGACTCTGTTGTGTCATTGTTCCAAATTATTGAGTTTATGGGTTTGTGGCGCCACAAGTTTGCAAACTTCGAACTGAACTCAATTCTTCGATTTGGGTCAATGACATTCGGATGTCTCTCATCAGGTTGGGTCTTGTAGATCATCTCTCTCTCTTCCTCTCACAATAGGCCATATCCACGTCTACTGAACGTCGCGACCACCACTTCTTGGATGTCAAAAGTTGTTGGTATTCACTTAGGCATGACGCATCATCGGACCAACTCTCACTTGATATGTTGTGTTCTGACCACCTATCATTGCTTTCTTGAATATTCAATTGATTGATTGTTGATTGATTGATTGATCAATCACTCTTTGTTGTTATCAATAATTTGACATCTCAACATTGACTTCTGTATTGACCTCAGTTGGAGGAGGAGGTGCCATCGTAACAGCTGCTGCTGCAGGAGGTGATGAAGAAGATAACAAGTTAGCTGAATAATATCTCTTGAACACCTCTATCTCTGTTAACTTGGCAATGAGCTCCCTAATAATAATAATAGTAGAAGTAGGAGTCAGTAACTGATTGACATGTGTTGATGTATGTTGATGTTGATGTTGATGTTGTCATCAAACCTACTTCTTCTTTTTTAATTTATCTTTATATGATTGTAACAATGCTTCTTGTTCCTCAAGTGTTCTGTTTGCACCTGGTAATGAAGCCAATAGTCTAGTGCACTTTGTTATTCTCTCATTCAATACATTGACAGCTCTTGATATCTCCAATTCATCATCCTTCATCCTTGCAATAATATCTATTACATAAGGAAACAGTTGGAATTCACCAACAATCTCATCGACAGGTAATGGTGGTTCAAGTTCTAATTGTTTAGACATGTCTTATTATTATTACTATCTATTACATCTAAGTCAATGAATGACATTCACATTCATTCAATATGATGATGAACCCACAAAGTGATTAAAGTTGGAAAACACCCAAAGTTCAAAATTAAATTGAAAAAAACAAATCAAATCAAAAACGACCGAGTATTCGAGCATTCTCTCGACTCAACCTTCATTCATTCATTCAACTACATCCTCATTTCATATATATATATATATAAACAGACACACATACACAATATGAAGGATACAGTTGTAAAGAGAACTGGTGCTCCATCAAGAGGTGGACGTGGAGGTGGTTCAAGAGGTGGCCCATCAAGAGGCGGCCAATCAAGAGGTGGCGGCTTCGGACGTGGACGTGGTGGTCCAAGAGGAGGAGGAGGAAGAGGTGGTCGCGGTGGCAGAGGTGGAGCAAACAACAAAAACAATAGAGATGATGACGAGGAAGAGAACGAAAACCCACTTAGCTATCATGTTAATGACAGTGATAGTGATGATAACGTTGACGAGGATATGCATTCGGCTGTCGACAACAAGGTTGCTGCCAACTTCCAAGACGAAGAGATTGACGATGCCGAGTTGATGAACGACTCTGACGATGACATGGACGGTGATTCACTATTCACCAACAAGAATAAGAAGGTATGTTTGTCAATCAATCAACTCAACTCGATCAATCGTTCTTTGACTAACATGTTTACACGATTGATGTAGAACAAATATCATGAGGAAGACGAGTATGAAGGTGTTGACTACATTGATATCTCAGAGTTGATGGATGATGATGCACCAAAGAGTTTGTCAAAGAAGCAAAAGAGTACAATGGAGGACTATGTTGTCGAGGATAAGAAGAAGAAGCCAGAGACAAAGGCAAAGTCAAAGGTCACTGCCCCAGCTCCAGCACAAACACCAGCACCAGCAACATCCACAACAAAGATGAACAAGATACTTCAACAACAAATGTATGAGGACGAGGATGATGAGGATAATGAGGAACTCTTGGAAGAGGATGATATTGAGCATGATGAAGAGGATGACGAGTCATCGGGCGACGACAACGATCAATTGTTTGGCGAGACAGCATTCGATGATGATGATATTCTTGAGGACGGTCAGGAGGATGAGGATGATGAGCTTCAAACTGGCGATGACGACGAGGGTCATGACAAGCTTGCATCTATCATCAGTGGACTGGACAACAAGCCCTCAACCAAGAAGCAATCAAACAATCTACAAGAAGTCACTGAGGACTATGCCAACGAGTCTGGATTCGGTCTTCGTCTTGGAGAGGAGGGTATGTAGTTGCCTGGAACTATTCCAAGATTGATCAATCAAGCCATCTAACATTCCATTCAATCACTCACTCATACTTCCAGATCAAATCGACTTGGACTCATTGCTGAGCATGATCCCTGAGGGATTTGACGCACTCAAGGGTGACCTGGAGAAATTGTCAAAGAAGGAGGCATTGCCATTGCCCATGTCCAAGTTCCACTCCAATGAACTCCAACGTAAGCTCACGTTAAAGGACGCAAAGAATGTGCTGGACAAGTGGATCCCATTCATCAAGGCCGAGCGAGAGAAGGCCTCCCACGTGTATGAGACAAAGATCTCGACAACTGACAACGCCTCATTGATGGCCGCCGCCAAGTCAGTCACATCGACTGGCCCCTCAAGCAAGATGGACCTGGAGATCAAGCGAATGATGCAACAGTCGGGCGTAACCAACAAGCGCGACACACCCGATGGAATGGAGAAGCAGAGCCCCGAGGAGGAGAGGAAGAGACTGCGCGAGATCATCAAGCTGAGGAACATCATGTTCTACCAAGAGATCAAGAACAAGCGTCAAGCCAAGATCAAGAGCAAGAAGTACAGAAAGATCCTAAAGAAGCAGCGTGAGAAGGAGACTGAGAAGCGCGAGGAGGAGCTGTCCAAGATCGATCCAGAGTTTGCCAAGCAGCGCCAGATGCAGGCTGAGGAGCAGAGGATCCGTGAGAGAATGACACTGCGCCACAAGAACAACAGCAAATTCATGAAGAATGCCATGCGCGGTGGTCTGACCACCGAGCAGCGCCAAGGCATCAACGAGCGCAAAGAGATTGGTCACGGACTCTTGAACAGAATGAACAAGGTATCCAACGAGGACAGCGACAGTGATTATGATGTCGAGAGAGAGGATGATCAAGAGGAGCAGCAGAGCCAGCGTGGAGGACGTGCGCCCGTCCACGTGTCTAAGGAGGATGTGGAGAGCATCGACAAGTCCATGCCGCTGAAGGACAGAGTGACGACAAAGATGCAGCTGCTGGGCATGGACACCAAGAAGGTGGAGAAGGGCATCAATGCCATGAAGTTCATGCAAAACAGTCTGGAGCGTGACCTGGATCAGAAGCTGGCGGGCAGAGTGACCAAGGGAATGGACGACTATGAGATTGGAGAGATGGACTCGCTGGACAAGGAGGCCGATAATGAGAACAGGATAGCATTGCATAGACCAGTTCAATCAAACAAGACCAAACTGTCCGCTCAGCAGCTCGACCAGCCCGCTGGACAAGTTGACCAAGTGTCCATGTCGTCCGGTCACAAGATGAAGGTGTCCACACCAATATCAATTGGCAGTGATGAACAAGAGACTGTCAACGTTGCCAAGGTTGGTGCCAACAAGAAACAACAACAACAACAGACAAAGGAGAAACAGATCAAGATAAACAAGGAAATTGATGAGGACAACTTGGACGAGCAGATGGACAACCCATGGCTGGAGGCCAACTCAAAAAAGACAAAGAAGGACAAGAAGAAGGAGTCGAACAAGGTGTTGGTCGATGTCGAGAAGGTGACCAATGCGGCCAAGGGCGTGGCCAACAAGAGGAAGGCAATGTCCGAGCAACCACAAGAGGAGGAAACAGCATCAGCACCATCAACAACAGCCAGTGGCAACAAGAAGAACAAGAAGAATCATCCCGGTATGAGTCTGGTCACATCGAACAAACAGAAGGAGTTGTTGTTGGAGGCATTCGCGATGGACGATGTGGAGGATGAGTTTGCCAAGGAGAAGTCTGCCATCATCGAGAGGGAGTTGGACGAGCAAGACAAAGACAGCGCAATCAAGAAGTTACCAGGCTGGGGTGCATGGACTGGTGATGGAATCAAGACGAGGCCAGTCAACGAGGCAAGGCTCAAGGTATGTTCATTCATTCAATCAGACTTGGAATCATTCCAAATCAATCACTCACTCTCTAACTCACTCAATCATTCACAAACATGCAGAGAGAGCGTGATGCCAAGCTGAAGGAGATATCAAAGAAGAGAACAGATAACAAGAACTCTAGAGTTATTGTGGACGATAAGGCAACTGTGAAGGGTGTGTCAAGGTATATGTTGAACAATCTGCCAATGCACTATCAGAACGTGGAGCAGTATGAGAGCACGATGGCAACGCCACTGGGCAAGGATTGGAATACAAGGACTGTGTTCCAGAAGCTTGTCGAGCCAAAGGTGTCTGTGGCATCTGGAACCAATGTGAAGCCAGTGACACGTGCCGACAGAGGAGCACAACAACGCAAAGCCAGTCAACAAAGACAGCAACAGAACAACAAGAAGCTGCCAACATCACTCAACAAGGCCACACCAGATGTTCTTGTCAAGACGTCTAAAAAATAATAAGTAAATTATTATTATTATTTTATTAATATTATACAAATATATATAATTATCTCTCTGGTATCTTAGGCCTTATACCAGAATTCCATTGGGGGTTGTTTAACGATTGAAGATCGTTTCAGATTGAAGTGGGTGACCCACTTTGATCATGCAAATAATTACCACTCAACAAAAGTGCCCTTGATCAGCTGATCTGTTTTGTGGTGATTTTTGAGTGTATACCAACAAGCCGATTTAGATCCCCCATTATCTACCTTTAACAACATCATACACAATTAAATAAATACACAATCAAGGTCAATGTACTTGTGTTGAAGTCTCACGTGTTCCAAGATAATGGTATCATCAAACTCTATCGTACCCTTTCATATACCAACTTTATAGCTTCCTTTCATATTACATAGAAATAGATATTTAATATAGTGTTCAAGCCTGCTTTCCATCCATTACCAATCAGAGATACATTGAAGTAAGTAAGTTCATCATCCATCATATGATTGATTGATTAAATGATTGGTTGATGAAGAGATCTGTATTATGTCATATGTTTGGTAAAGATACACTTGCTCCTTTTGGTCCTTACAGTAAAGTGTGAATACGATTATTACCCCCCTGTTGTGGCAATCGAGGCTTGAATCCCGATAACAACTAAAATTACACCTCAACCTTTCAGTGGTGTGGAGATTGTGATCTTGCCTGCTCCACCCCCTAATGAATGAATTAGTGAATGACACACTAAACAGTTCCTTCCTTTCTTTCTTCGCTCACAAACAAACACACAAACAAAGAAAGAAGAACATCTCCACATCATCCTACTTCCACACCACCCTTAATATTGTTGTTGTTATACACATACACACACAAGTTTGTTGATATTTTCATTCAAATATCTTTAGATCACCAAAAGTTTAATTTATATTTTAATTCTCAACAAAAAGACAAAATAGGAAGTTGTTTGTTTAATTAAACAGTTCCAGTACCATATACTTTTATTTGTCAATCAATACAATATACAATTAAAACAGATACATACAAACATACATACACATACAAACTTGTATTGTTAATTTATTAATATTTATAATATAATCAGCTGATCTTTAAATTTGGCCTTCATAATATCATTACTCAAATACATACATTATACAACTTGGTGCACCTGCTCATACTTACTCACTCACACATTCATTTATATATACACACATAGCCTCTATCTATCTATCTCCAATCAACAACAACAACAACAACAAAACATCAAATCAACTTGTGTTAGCCTAACCTAATTGTTGTTCATCAGCACACACCCACACACACAACACAAACAGAAGGAACAAACTAAACACAACCACAACAAACAAACAAATACTCTCAAGTAGTATCAGTCAGCTGAATTTGTACATAGGTATGTTCATGTTTGCAGCACCTCCCACACACACACACAATGCTGCATGATTAATCTATATCCTATATCTATTCCATCCATCAATCAATCCATTCATTAATTATATTATTATACTAACCTACAAAATATATATCTCTTTCTTTCCTTTTTTATATTCTTTATCTCTCTTTGTTTTATTATTATTATTAGTGTATATATTTAAATTATTTATTAACATAATTATAGGATGAAGTCCAACTTCAAACGTATTGAGATCAGTCAGGAGGACATTGAAAGATCATCATCATCTACTGTAATACCCATGGCAATGTCATCTGATCATATACAACTAATCAACAGCCAAAGCAACTATATGGCTATTGCTGCTGCAGCAGCCGATAGAGTACCCATCCATACATCCGACGAGGACAGTGACTATGATGACATGGACCATCATCCATCATCTCCATTAATCCCATCTACATCTACGACTACTACCACATCATCATCATCTTCTACAAATATGGCTACTACTACTACTACATCATCATTGGCATCATCTACATCTTCATTGTCTCCATTGTGCTCATCCAACAACAACAGTAGCACTGGATCACAATCACGATCGGCATCACCGACTTCAATGCCAGACGTCGCCACCACCACATCTACAGCTGCCACCACCAACATCAATGGCAATGGCGCTGCTGGTCCATCTCTCGTATTGATCAATGCCAACAATCAGATACCCACTGTCGATGTGTCCACTCTTCTCTCGCACATCAACCAACTCAACACATGGGTGGCCCAGATTGATCAATGCTCGCCAACTGCTCGATCCATTGTATGGAGACAGCTCAACGACATCTGCATGCAGCAGGCCTATCCCAACCAAGACATCTCCACTCTACACATTGCCAACGCGCCTCTCTGGGAGAGCAAGTGCACGGACAAGTTCCTGCCCTACTTCCACTCTCTGCTCAGGAAGCCCAACATGGACGTCAACGGCTTGCAATCTTTGCACTGTGCCTTTGTCGAGTCGGAGCGAAGGAACACCAACCTCTTCCAGCAGTGCTCACCACAGACTGCTGTGGACCCAACTGATGACCAGGTCACCATCAACCCATACACAGTCTCCTCGGATATCTTCCATTCATCGTCCATCTGGGGATTCACACTGCCATCTGTGTTGCAGCAGTTGCTGTGTCTGACGGCGTGGGCACCACAACTCGATCGTCTGCCCACCAACCTGAGGAAGGCAATCTGGGACAACTGTCTCTCCTTTGCCCCATTCAAGACTCTCACTGTTGGCACCAAGCTCAACAGTTTCACCAAAGTTGTCAAGGGTTGGACCAATCATCCAATCAACAACATGCTTGCCATCACTACACTCTTTGGCTCGCTTGGTTACCTCACCTCTAGAAGGGTATTGAGTGTAAGTAATAACAACAACAACAACAACTGTTGATGGACACGCATAACTAACTCTTAATCTTCAACAGAACAACTTCTATTTCCCTCAGACAAACTACTTGGTCTTCTCATTCAACGAGTCGGACTATGTAGGTTCATCATCTTCGTCACAGTATGAGTGTGAGGATGAGGTGGCCACCTCCCCTTCACCATTGAAGAAGAACAAGAAAAGTCACTCCACCTCCTCCTACAAGCAGAGTGATATGGGTGAGAGAGTGCCATCTATGTCACCGTTGCCAACGATTGGTGCACAGAGCAGTGCCACACCAGGCTATGCTTCACCAATGGCTTCGTACTCCACTTTGGAGCACTACAGCAGTGACACTGAGTCCTCCTTTGACTCTGATCCAGTGACTCCTACCAAGCATCACTCATCATCATCATCCAACCAACAACAATTTACAAACATCGAATCGATCAGCTCGATGATCGACAAGGTCATGAGGTCCAAGTCCCTCAAGCCTTCTTCAAACACACAATCCACCGCAACCAAACAACCAACATCATCATTATCATTATCATCATCATCTGCCTTCAACAACACCAACACCTCAACCAACAAACAGTCCAAGGCTAGGAAGGCCAGTAGCATCAGCAGCTACAGTGTATCAAACAACAACTACCTCTTCACCAACACCAACACCAACTCGAACAACCTTCATCACTCCTCGGACTCTGTACCATTTGTGAACAACATCAATAACTCCGTGTGTAATATACCAACGATGAGCACCCAAACCAAGCAGATGGACGCCATGTCCATGCCAGTGCAAGTGCCAGTGAACAATCCAATGGATGGCTGTGCACCTTTGGATGTTCTTGTTATGACTGCCTTCCAGTTTGAGGAGTTGGACGAATCGATCGTCTGCCAAGAGCCCGAAGTGCCCAAGAGAGAGACAACAAGCTTCAAACGTATCAGCAGCAGGAAGAGAAGATTATCCTCTGAGCATACTGTCAAGCAGGAGGGAGCCATGAACATCAACAACATCCTCTGTTCATAAGCTTTCTTTCTCCACCTAATGGGTGTGTGTCTGGGATCCGACATTCCCATAATCCGACACTACCTACTGGGCCCTGGACCTGCCTCCAAACAAACAAACAAACTACCAAACCAACAAGACCAAATCATTCCCGAATGTACATTCCCCAAACCACAACTACAACTGCAACATTGATTGTACCTGAGACGACCAAACCAACATCATCCATCATCATCATCATCCACTTACTCTCTGTAGATACAAACATCACCATCCCCTTCCTCGACCAACATATCCATAATGTCTATATGTTCGATTATATCTGCTGACTTTAGCTTTCATTAGCAATAAATGTGTATTCAGCGTCATCCATCAATCAAACAATCAACATATGTCATTCATTCCTTCTCCAGGTCAATCAATCAATCAATCAATCAATCCAGGTCTCATCCTGGGACCCCTCCACCCACGAGTAAGATTCATTCGGCAACTCAACCCCAAGGATGTCCGAAGATTTTAGTTCATGAAACTTCAAGACATTCACTTCACCTTTGCAATGATGTCACAGACTGAGGTGTCTTTCATTCAAACAAGACTAAACCATTGTTATAATAATAAATATAAATATATTTATAATTGATGGTATACTTATCTCATGCATGATAATATAGTTTAGGACAGGCGATAAACGTACGACATACAATAGACAATGTCAACACCATCAACACCAACCAAACAAAAGAGCTTTCAACAATACTCTGACTCTGAAGCATTGTTGACATCGCTCAGTAACTTTATACGTACAAATGGTAAGATTGAGGCATTGAAGCAAACAAAGAACATACTCTTACATGACATTCATTATACTATTATTAGAGAAGGGATTAAAGACAGGAGAGACAGCACTCAATCTGAACCCAGCATGTTTGGAATACCTCAACTCATTCATTAATGGCAAGAGTATATCACATAAACTGACTAAGCAAGACTTGCTGAGTCTACAGACTATAATGTCACAAGTCAGACTGTTACAGATGGACTCAAACCTGCCAGAGACTTTGGAGAAGTATCGAGACTTGGACATGAACCTCTTTGGATCATTGAGTGCAGTGCAGTTCAATTATGTCAAGCCAGGTCTGGTGACCAATCTCTGTCAGATTGCAAAGACTCTGACCAAGGTGGCCGTGCACCAATCGCTCTACTCACTGGACGAGCTGTTGGTCGTAGAGGACGAGGCCAAACTGACGCACTTCCAAGAGATCAGTGTCAAGACCTATGATGACCTTGTTGCCGACAAGGCTGAGATACCTCACAAGCGTCTACAAGAGTTATACGTCCGTAATGGAATCTGGTCCAATCTTGTCTCACTGGACTGTTCCTCAAACTATATACCCAAGATAGATAGCTCAATGGTATGTATGATTGATTGTGCACATGAGGCCGATGGATTGACCGCTGACGTCTCCCCTTCATGTTACAGTACACCCTCGTGTCCCTTGAGAAGCTCAACTTGGAGGGCAACCTTATATCAAAGGTGGAGAATCTACATGAGTGCCTCAATCTACGCGTGCTCAACTTGTCAAACAACAGGATAACATCGATGGAGAACATTTATGAGGTGTTGGGATTGGTCACACATCTATCATTGTCTGGCAACATGTTGACCAATGTCGATGGCTTGAACAAGCTGTATGGATTGGAGTACCTCGACATCACAATGAATCAGATACGCGACATTGAAGAGATCTCCAAGTTCAAACAAATGCCCAGTCTGCGGTGTCTCAATGTCAAAGGCAATCCCCTTTGTCAATTCAAGTCATACCGCGGCTGCATCCTCTATTCATTGCTTGGCGAGGTAAGTCAAAGTGTACCAGCCACGGCCTAACCAACTCACTCACACACTTACTCACTCTCATTTACCAAAAGGATGTACAATCATTGGAGTTCAAGGAGTTCTACTTGGATGGCATTGCGATTGGACAGGCAGACATTGATTTCATCAAGAAGAATACATCCACAATGGTCAAGGACCTTTCACTCACACCTCAAAAGTCTTCAACAAACAGGATCAAGCCAATGAAGGAGGACGAGTCATTGCCACCTTTGACCTTTGCTCCAAGTGTGTTGAAGGCCAAGGGCGAGAACTCAACATCACCTGCCCTACTTTCCACCTCTGTACCAAAGCCATACCAACGCACGGTAGATCTAGAGGAGGCGCCAGAGGTGCCCGAGTACACCACAGGCATGACAGATACATCAGAACAGGATAACTTCATCGAAGAGAAGAATCTGAGGAAGAGGATCGAAGAGCTGAGAGAGGAGGGTGGCAATGCATGGCTGAGGATCTTGAATGAAATGGATGTACAGGCCAACAACAACAATAGCAACATCAACAAGAGAGACAGCCTTACGAAGCAGATGAGCGACAGTCTGGTGACGCACGAGAGAAGAGTGATCAAGAAGAAGGTTAAGAAGACAATACTGAAACCCAAGAACCCTGCAGCAGCAACGACAACGCAAACGACACCAATATCAATCACTCCAGACTCTAGTTCAACACCACTGGATCAAACACCTACCACTTCAACGCCACTCTCATCAACTCCGACATCAATGCCAACGACACCTATCAAACCATTGGACACACCTGTTTCAACCCCAACCAAGCCGAAGCAACAACAGTTTGATGAACCTGTACCTACTCCCCCTACAACATCCACCCCTACCCCCACGTCCATCTCTTCCTCTCCACCATCCACCGCATCACCATCCAGTCTCAAAGACACTCTGGCTGATCCGTCACCAAGTGTCTCCCACGAGATACCCAAGGTAAAGAGCGCAAAGGAGGAGCCAGCCACCGCCTCACCAAAGCTAGCAACAATCTCCACTCGACCCAAGTCAGAGTTTATCACCAAATCTGCACTATCCTCCATTCTTTCCCAAGACCAACCCGCCGACTCCACGCGAACAGTCAACAACAATCCCCTCAGTCTTCTTGAGGCCAGCTTGAAACAGGCTAACCTCAATGACTCTAGATTGTAAGTCACTTCACTCATGCTCACTCAATCATGTTACTAACATTCTCGATCATCATCAGACTTGCCGAGCCATTCTTTGTTCTAAAGTTTGGCACCAATCAAGAGATGTTGTTGGAGATCAAGTCGGACTTGATCACAGAGACCAATCCAGCGACTGGAACATCAATCAAGTCTCACCTCATTCAGGCCGTGGTCTTTGTGCGAAAGTACTCAAGACCGCCACACCATTTGATAGAGATATCTTATGGCAAGGACTTCAAAGACAGCGTGCCAATGAACTTCTTCAAAGAGGTCTACATCATGGAGGACGAGGATCAGGCTGTGTTGCTAATGACCATACTCACGCCACTGGTCAAAGAGTACACGATGAGCTGTCTCGACTGCTCCGAGCGATACATCTGTCGCGATGAGAATCAGTTTGGTCAATGTATTCGATGTCACTCAAAGTATCTATTCTTTGTTCCCGTGCTCAACATTGATCAGCAGCAGCAACAGCAACAACAGCAAAAGAACGTATCACAATCATACTCGGCAATGCAATTGGGCACTTCACTACCACCCGTGGCCACAATACCAATGACATCGGCGCAACATCAGCAACAAGCCAAGCCAGAGGTATCACTCAACGAGGATGACGATTTCAATCAGAGTATTTTGGACGATCAGAACCTGCAGCTCAAACTTCGAATGAACCTATTCACTGGTGGCAGTCAAGAGGTATACATCTACATGATGCAGACCAACTACATCCAGTACAACTCACAAGATGACGAAAGGTAGGCATACTCGAATCGAGCCGTTCTTTCGTTCTTGATTGACTAACACGGATTGTCACCATGATCACACAGAACAATCTACCTACTACTCACATCAAAGACTGTGTACATGCTAAAGAAAGAGAAGAAGTCATTGTTGGGACAGGATAACAACTACACACGATTGACCTCTTTCCAATTCAAGGATATCAAGACAATGGACATTGGACTTCTATTCCAATCCTTTAGGATTGAGTTGGAGAATGATGTTTGTTATGTATTCCTCAAGAGATCACATGATCCAACTCACAAGTAAGTGGCACCATCACATTCAATCAATCATGCTCAATCAACTAATATACTTTGATCGATCATATGTAGGTTCTTGGACTTGCTTGTGGAGACAGCCAAGAAGGATGGAGTCAACCTCGAACCAAACTACAGGATCAAGGAGACAATGATCAACATAGCATGTTGCATTGAGTCCAAGAATGACTTCGAACTGTATATTATGTTATATTTTAAATCATTCTCAAAGTGTATGTATCAATATCCAAACTTCCAAGCTGAGGTTCACACATGGCTAACTCAATCCCCAACAAACAGACCAACCTAGGAGTTTGATCATCACAACAGAGAGGATATTCATCTGTGTTGAGAACTACTCACAGTGGCCATTGTCAAGTCGCCAGAACATCAAGCTGCTCACACCTCAGTTCCTTTTGGTTGGATTCTTTAGGGTGGTCGACATATCATGCCTACACTACAGTGTCAGCAAGCCAACAGAGTTGATTATCGAGTTTGATCTGGAGGATGAGTCCACACAACAATGGAGTCTTCAGACGGCGCATCCAGTCGAGTGTAAGAAGATCGTTACAACTCTGTCCAAGCTTTGGAAAAAGAAGTTCCTCCAAGACCTGCCAGTAAACGATCGTTAGTACTTCCTTTTATGCGCAAATGAATGGATTAATTGATGGCTGATTGAACACCTTATTATAATGACTGGCTGTCTAGATGGCTAGTGCTAGTGACCGGTCAATCAATTGTTAGGGTAGTAACACAAAGGACGACCAGTGGTGTTATGATCATCGGACTTGTCTTCAAAAATATCTTAAAGTATTGGGTTGATGTTCGTCGTCTTTCAAAAATATCTGCGCTCGTCGTTTCAGGTAAGATCAACCCATCGCGATTCCAATGGAATCGTAAATCAAGTCAAGTCTATGGTCTGGACGACCACCTATTGTAACCCAAACCTTAAGAAGTTGTGATGAATACCCTTCAACTAATCATTCTTTATTTACTTCATACAACAATGACAAGGTTATTATCTCTTTCAATTATTTTATGCACACTGGTTGTGTCAACTTCGACGATTGTCCTCTCCACCGCCACACCATGGCCTACTGCACCACCTGTTCGTGTTTGTGGAAACAATACAATCTTGGGTAAAGGTCCAGCCACGGCCCCCACCGGTGCAATAATCGTTCCAGCTGGCAACAACACTGGATTTGATTGGGATCGCGCTGGCAAGACATTCTGGTTCGCACCCGGAGTTCATCACTTGGCCGACAGCATCTACTCCCAGATCATTCCTGCCTCCAACACTATCTTTATCGGTGCACCAGGTGCCATCCTTGACGGCCGAAACAAGAATCTTTACGCATTCACCCAGCGAGCAGGCAACGTTACAATCCGATACCTCGAGATCCGCAACTTTGGCCTGGGTCAGTCAAACAATGATGAGGGTGTGGTCAACCATGATGCTGGCTGGAACTGGACAGTGGAGTACAACTACCTACATGACAACGATGGTGCAGCTCTCTTCCTTGGCTCAAACTCTGTGACACGTTACAACTGTCTCAAGAACAATGGCCAGTATGGCTTCAGCTCAGTGGCCCCAGAGGGTATTTACAATGTATTGTTCGAGTACAACGAGGTCGTAGGAAACAATCAAGACGACTGGGAGTCACTACGCGAGTTCTGTGGATGTACTGGTGGAGGCAAGTTCTGGGAGGCACATGGCGTCGTAATCCAACATAATTGGATACATCATAACTTGGGTCCTGGAATATGGGCAGACAATAACAACGCGGACTTTTTGATTCAGAACAACTACATTGAGGAGAATGATGCCAGTGCCATTATGTACGAGGTGAGCTACAACTTCCGTATTGTCAACAACACATTCAAACGTAATGCCCTCAAGAATGGACGAGCCCGTCAAGACTCCTTCCCAGAGTCCGCCATCTACTTGTCCGAGTCTGGTGGTGATGCTCGTGCCTCATCAAAGTACGTCATCTCAGACATTGCCTACAACTTGTTTGAGGACAACTGGGATGGTGTGACATTATGGGAGAATGCCGATCGATTCTGTCGTCCAAACGAGACCTTTGACACAACCAACGGTTGTCCATTCTTTAACCAAACTTGGGGCACTCGTTACAAGACCCAGAATGTCAAGATCCATCATAACAACTTCACATTCAGTCGTGAGCGTGTAAATTGCACAGTTAGTTATTGTGGCCGCAATGCTATCTTCTCCAACTATGGTTCATACCCTGCCAACTCGCCATACTTGGACGATGTTATCATCAAGGCGATCAACTTTAATCAGAACAATACATGGTACAACAACACATATCTTGGTCAATGGCACTTCATGCCAATGGATGCCAGCTATGATGTCAACACTGCCACCTGGCAGGGCGCCCCATATAACCAAGACCGATTTAGTACCTTCAACGGTTCATTCACGCCAACACCCACTCCAACTCAATCCCAGACTCCAACTCCAACGCCAACACAGACCCCAACTCAAACTCCAACGCAGACCCCAACATCCACACCATCAGCCAACTTCCTCGATGTTGATTCATCCACCTTGGAGGCGTCCAAGGGCAAGTGGGTCCCATGGTTCAGCAGCACAGTAGCTCAATCAACAGAGTCTGCTCACACTGGCACACACAGCTTAAAGGTGACCATCACCGCTCCATACTGGGGTGTCGAAGCTAACAACTGGCCAGGATTCCCAGCTCAGTCCGGAACGATCAACGTTAGCGCATGGGTCAAGCTTGCAACTGGATCAGGCGCAGTCCAGCCCACTGTTACCGTCCAAGCGATCAACACCAACCAAGACCTTTTGGCAGAGTATGACCTCAACCTCTACCCAGTGACTGCCACATGGTCCAAGAAGCAAGGATCATTAGTTGCCCCAGCCGGAACATCGCATGTAGTCGTCAGATTCTCTGGTGCTGATGATGCCGGATCATTCCTCCTTGATGATATTATCATTGGCAGGTCATAGTTGTAATCTCTCGCACGAGTTTAATAAAGTAGTTTACTCCTGGTCGCCTTGATAGATGGGGGCAGCAGGCACAACGCTGTTATAATGCTCACCAAGAGTGAATGCAAACTTGTGATAAGAGAGACAGATGGGCTTGTTGGTGGCGTGGCTCTTGTGATACTCCTCGCCAAGTTGAACGTCTGGTGCGTATGCATTGTAGACGATGATCGGAGTCTTGAGTGATGATGATATTGCCTTGAGCTCGATGTGACCACCCCAGCAGCCATCCTTCAGCACTGACAGCTGACAGTAGTCATCGATGGGATTGTCCGCGTCGTTAAAGTCCTCCTCTGCGACAATGTACGGTAGGAACTCGTCTGGATTGGTGCGAATGTATTGTGCCGCGATTGACCTCAGCTTCTTGTGATATCCACCCGCTTCCTTCTCCTTGATCACTCCATTGACCAACAATTGATTGGCGATCGCATTGTAAAGGCAGTCTCCATCCGATTTGATCTTGATTGATTGATTGATTGAGTGTTAGACGTGTGAGTTATAGAACCATTGGTCGACCAATCACTTACAAGCTTAATAGACTTTGACAATGGCTTTAGTTTGGTTGTAAAGTCGTTGGCCTCAACGACACCCTTTGATACATAGTTCTTCTTGTCTTCCTCGAGTTGCTTGGCTCGGGCTTCTTCCTCTTCGGCACGCTTCGCTCGTTTGAGTTGCGCTTTAGAGATGGCACGTTGATCAGTGACCAACAGCTGATCTTGAATGGCCTTTTCAAGCTGTTTCTGTTGCTCATCAAACTTGCTCATCTCCTCCTTATGTTTTGCCAACAGGTCCTGTTCCATCTTCTTTGCCTTCACAGCTAGTTCATCTTTTGCCTTCTTATCCTTCTTTGGTATGGCATGATTCAACTTGTCTATATCCTGTTGTAACTTTTTCAATTCCAACTTATGTCTATGTTGCATCTTTCCCTTTGACTCAGACTTTTGTTCATTCTCCTCATCATCATCCTCGTCATCATTATCTTTAGTATCATTCACTTTGTTGTTTATATCATCATTGTTTGTTGTTGTAGTTGTAGTATTATTATCTTGTTCTTCATCATCATCCACTGTGCTGACCAACAACTTGTTATTCTTTTTCTTTGCCATTCTATCTGTTTGTATTTGTTTTGTTTGAGTGAAGTGAATGAAGATTGAGTAATTCAAGAAGGTGAACTTTAGAGTGTTTTCAAAACAAAAGTGATAAAAAGAAGCTAGTTCACTTCATTTTGGCTCATTCGACACCCACTCCACATTCACTCTTATCTCTTTGTACAGATAAGATTATTATTGATTGATTGTACTTTATTATTGTGTTGTGATCAATACACTTTATATCTCTTGCTTATAAGAGACTAACTCTCTTGAAGGATACAAAAACAAAACAAAACTATACATTTAATATGAAGAGCTCAAATGGTGTATATTCCAAACAGGAAAACAGTAGTAATAGTAGTAGTAATAGTGGCGCAACAGTCTACCCGATAGTACTTGCAAAGACGACCAAGAGATGGAATATAGCAAAGTTCACATCAAAAGTGGACATATCATCATTCAGCAAACCGGTGAGGATGTTCAAACATAAGCCAGATCTGTCAGAGAATGCCAACAACAACAACGATGATATAAAGACCAACTCTCCAATGAACACCACCACCACAACTACAACATCAACTACATCTACCACTAGTACGACATCAACTACATCGACGGCTGCAGGAGCGGCTGGTGCCACTGCACCAAAGAAGAAGAAGTACGAGCCAAGACCTGTCAACCCCAAGACTATACCATGGAGGTTGGAGGATCAGGAGGGTCTACATCAGTTCCAAGGTATGATCGAGGGCAACCAAGCATCATGCTACTTCATCTTCCTGTTTCAGAGTGATGGCTCCATCAAGGCTGTACCCTTGGCCGATTGGTACACCTTCAGAATGAGGAAGGACGTCGAGACACTAACAATTGAGGAGGCTGAAGCATTTGTAAGTAGTATAGTTAGTCAGCTTGTCAGTCATTCAATCATACCAACTCACTCAATCATTCAATGATGTAATGTAGATGAGCAAGAAGTTTAAGGATAGAGATGATTGGGCACCAAAGACTGCAGCAGCATCTAGAAAGACGGAGGGTGCTGATGTTAAAGTTAAAGCAGAGGATGGAGATGATAAGGAGGATAGTGAATTCCGTAAAGAGATGTATGAGGATAAGGACAAGTTCAAGGCAGTATTCGGTGGCAACAGGAAAAGGAGAGGTGGCGATGATGATGAGGAGGGTGGTGGTGGCGGCGGTGATGATGATGCTGCCGACTTTGACACCAAGTTTGACGATGACGATGAAGCCTATGAGGAGAACGACATCAACACGGAGGAGGGTCCTCAGATCGAGGCCGAGGACGAGGAGAATGAGAACCTCACCGAGACTGGACGCGAGATGAAGAACTTGATCAAGAACATGGACAAACAGGACAGCAGCGACGAAGAGGAGGTGGCTGAGGATGAAAAGGAGTCCAGTGGCGAAGAGGACGAGGATGAGGACCCTGACGAGGACGACTTCTCGCTCACAAAGGCCAATCTCGCATTTGGATACCCCAAGAACAACATGGACACGTTGAGCGTCAAAGAGGAGCCAAAGTCTCCACTGACGAATCCTCCCTCGCCAGCACAAGGCACTGCCAAGTCAAAGAGCACAACAGCTGCCGCAGCGGCCACCACCCCCGCCAACAAGAAGAAGGGCAACACCAAGATCGGCTCGCCACCCGACCAGTCGGCGACAGCACCAGCAAAGCGTGGAACCAAGAACAAGGCTCCAGAGCCCCCACAACCAACCAACAGCGATCCCAAAAAGAAGGCAAGGACCGAGTTGACACCACAGACATCGCCACCCACATCACCGCCACAACAGCACTCCCCACAGCAGCCAGCGGACGGCGGCGATGAGTATCCACTGAGCGAGGAGTCCATCAAGACCATTCTTAACCAAGTGAAGAAGATCAAATCCAAGGACCTGGTGCTGATGTTCCGCAGTCAACTCAAGACCAACGAGCAAAAGGAAAACTTCAAGAAGTACATTAGCAAGCTGGCCACTGTCGTCACGTCTGAAGGTGATGTTAGGTACCTTGTGCCAAAGTAACAGGATGATTATTATTATAATTATTATGATGATGATGACGATGATGTATCAATCACACGACACTCCATAATAATAAAGTCATTCATTCAAGTCGACAACCAAACCAACCATTGTCCAATTTTGGTTAAAGATTGTTTTGTCAAAAGACACCCAATTTGAAGTTATTTCACGATCAACTCAATCAATCTTGATAATTATTCACATCATTCATACATATACTATCTTTTCAAACACTTGTGTAATAGCGATTGTGATCACAGAGATAGCGAGCGAACGAACTAGAGATAAGATATGCCTTGTATATTAAAGGTCAAGATAGTAGAGGGTCGTTACCTACCTATTATGGATAGGAGCTCTGCATTGGCCGACGCCTTTGTCGAGGTGCGTTGTGGCAATCAGAACGATCCTCAAAAGACAGACATCAAACGAAAGACACTCAATCCAATGTGGAATCATGACTTTAGGTTCGAGTTCCCCAATGAAGCCGACCTTCAAGATAAACCATTGGACATAAGGTAAGTTTGATTGATTGATTGATTGATTGGTCGATCATCGTCTAACACTCATCATATAGAGTATGGGACTATGACCTTGTTAGTAAGAATGATATGATTGGTACAGTACTCATTGATTTGAACTGTTTGTTCTCTGGTGAGAATGGTCAGATCAGTGGATGGTTCCCAATCTTTGATACACTACGAGGAATAAGAGGTGAACTCTTTGTAGTTGCAAAGCTTGAGATGTTACAGAATGCCAATCCATTCAAAGATGCATCAGCTGGTGTACAATTCTTCTCAAGTAAGTAGTCATCAACAACATCATAGATGATTGATTGATCGACTGACAATGACCCAACTCACCAACCATCATCATCATAGGCTCAACACCATTCTCCAACTATCGAATCAGTTGTATACATCAGTTTGTTGAAGAGTTGATCGTAGAGAGTGATCCAGAGTATCATTGGACAGACACATTCAGAGCATCAAGGCTGAGTAACTTCGAGAGACAAACATTGCTATACACATTGTCAGGGTAAGCGTCACATCATCCACTCATTCATTCATTCAATCACTCAAACACTGACTCGCTTGTGACCCGACCACAGTAAACTTCGCCGACAGATGGGAAAGAAGATCTTGGACATTGGAGGCAATGCAGTACTTGGTTATAAGCAACACTTTGATCTCGAGGGAGACAGCGGCATTGTGGCAAGAGGCTATGGCACAGCTGTTACCTTGAGGAAGATAACAGAGATGGATCTGGTCTCTCCGATATTGTCACCAAAGACACTGGTCAGCCAATCGGACAACTTCAACGGGCCACCAACATACTCATTCTCATCGTCGTCTGACTCGGATGACTACTCCACGTCGTCGTCCTCCTCGTCAAGCAGGTCCTCTGACGAACGCAACTCATCAGACAATGACAAGCCCAGCATTGACTTTATCAGCGATGTCCAACTGCTCACCCTGAATGACTTCCAATCACACCTAGTCGTATACATTGGTGGCATTGTTGCTGTATGTATCATTGATTGATTGATCGATTGGTGGAGCCAGCCTCACACTTACCTCCGCACATGCAGACCAAGTCAGTCAAGATACTTAAGAAGTCCAACTCACAGGAGAAGAGGGATGGCTTTTGGAACGAGATAAGGAATGAGATAAAGACTCATGCTAGGTCATTGGGATGTAACTATATCGTTGGCTACACTGAGACCACAACGATTCAACAGAGCGAGGACCTTTGTATATTTAGTGCCACTGGCACTGCAGTCATCTTGGACTTCTCAGTGAGTCCACAACAACACAGCGGACATCCACATCATCACAACAACAACAATAACAACATGCTGAGGAAGATGTCCAAGATCGAGGACTCAAGCGAGGATCTCAGCAGTAGCTATAAGAAGCTGGCCATCCAGCCATCCTCTGTTGACAAGCAGGGTTTATTGGCAGCTGGCTCCACAGGCGCACAGAAGAGAAAGCCAGTGACGAGGAGCGGCTCCATGTCGGGTTCGATCGAGGACACGCCAGATTCCTTCACTGATCCTCATATCAGGCGATCAAATATTGCACATAGCACTCATGGCAAGCCTCGAAAGAACATCAGCCGGACAGGCTGTTCAATATGTCACATACCATACTCACGAGAGGACTCGCCATTCCCTGGCAGCGTCGTGGCGTGCGCAGTCTGCAAGAAGAAGTACGTCCCCGAGGTACTCATGGCCACCATTGAGGTGCCCCCAGGCGTAAGTAACAAGCTCATTCCCCAGTCTCTCAGATGATCATTGAATGCTAACCCCATTCCATCCAGATGCCCATCACTGGCAAGGGCTGTTTGGTCCAGGCAAGAGTATGCCGTCTCAAGAAGAAGGTGCAGGGAGACTCAAACGCCACTCAGTTGAGCGAGTCAGTCCCATTCATTGAGTACGACCTGCACAATCAGATGATGTACAGACTGAAGGTGCTGGGAATGAACGCCGCATTCGGCTTCAAGACACAAATAACGTTCAGTGATACACTGATCATTGGTGTGGCCACAGCCACGGCGGTGTTCCTGACACCACTGCCGGCGCCACCCATCATCCACATCTCACGAAACATCGAGCAGCAAGGCAGCGAGGATGCCAAGAACCTCAATGAGATACAACACAGGATCGAGGACTTTTGTAAGATCAACCACGACCGTCTGCAAAAGGCGTCCAAGCATCACCAACCAGACACATTTGAGCGCTTCAGCACGCATGCCCAAGCGAGACGCGGTCGCTCTCCGGCACCATTCTCAATGCACAACACAAGCGAAAGTGAGGCACAGTCACATGGCGACGAATCGTTGGACAGCTCACTAGAGGTGCACGATAAGGTTGGCAAGAAGTCGTCTTCGGCCAACAAGAAGCATCATGGTGGTGGCAGACACAAGAAGATCTCAAAGAGCACTGCTGCCGCCTACGATACGTCCAGCGAGGACGAGGATGATGGCAACCCACGCGCCGTCATCCGCAGGTCAAAGAAGGAGTTGGCTTCGTCACGAGCTGGTCGTGCCAACTCTGTGTACTCTGACTCAAAGTCAGACTCGGACCATCACTCACTGTCATCATCATACAACAACACGACAGAGGCTTCCGATGGCGATGAGATGGACTCGTCCTCTGATCAAGATCAGTATGATATGAGCGACGAAGAGATTCCTCTCCCAAAGAAGAAGCATCAACATCAGCCACAACAGCAGCAGCAGCCGCACAAGAAGAAGCAACACAACAAAGGACAGAGGAAGATAGCAGTGTCAAAGGCAAGCCACAGCAGTCTACGAAGAGGAGACAGGCATCACAAGCAGTCGACCACATCACCGTCCAGCTCCTCCGATGAGGAGTCGGTGCTGTCATACCCTCCCGAGAGGATAAGCGAGTCGAGCAGTGCATTCGTCGTGGAGGTGGACGACAAGATCGACGAGGACAAGATGATCACGCTGCTAGACTTTTACTCGCCACCCGGCTTCTCATTGTGCAACACCGAGCTGTTGCCAGGCCAGTCCAACAACTTCCAGAACGTCCGCTTGGTCACGGCAATCAGACGTGTCGAGTGGGATGTCGACTCAAACTACCTCAACAACCAGTTGTCCGTGCTGTTCAACGACCTGTACGACAGCGTGATGTTCAAGCTACGCGATATGGCACCGTGTATCTTGGCGGGCGTCAATGTAGACATCAAGATACCCGAGGACGACCAACTCCAGATGCTCTTCACCGCCATGTGCATCATCGAGGGCTCTGACAACCAACCTAACCTGTCGCCAGAGAGTATCAGCCACAGCAACAGCAGCACTTTGTTGCCTCCCCTGCCATCCACACTTCCTCCACTGATGAACCTTGCTGGTGGCAACACCAACAAGCTCGCCCAGCAGCAGAGCATTCCGGCGCCACCATCGTCAATATCTACGCCATCCTCATCGTCATCCAATGTCCCCATTCGATCGTCCAACGCATCACCCTATCTCTCCAACCCAATACCGTTTGCCAATGAGATTGAGGTGCACCCTCCTCATCATCATGGACTAGTGCACCCAGTCACCGACCTCCAGTTTGACATGTCACCACCTCGATCACCCATCAAGAAGTCGCTGGAGGCGTCACACCCATTCAACCTGGACCACAGAGCGGCACATGAATCCAGGAATGTCGAGTTGACTCCACTGTCCTATCTGCCCAAGAGCAGGATGGACAGATATCTTGGACGTGTCAACATTCATCTGATCAAGGAGAGCTTCTCAGTGCGAGAGAGTGGTGGACTAGGAGTGTTTAGCCATGTGTTCTTGACCGAGGCCAATGCCATTGTTCGAGCACATGTGGTATCGATTGGCGCCAATGCTCTGGTTGGCTACCACATTGACGAGTTCAACCTGATACTTGACAGTGGCCCAAAGGGACAGGCCTACTCGTTGATAAGTATCAGTGGTGATGCATACTCCTCATCTCCAATCCATACTAGACACATAAGAACTCTGTAAATAAACTAGGTATTTTTGAACCAAGTCGATGCGTATCGTCACGCCAGCATAAGGTGTCGAGTTTGAGTTTGAAAGTTGGGTATCATTTATTGGAACATTTTAGGACCAGTAAATTGGCTCGTCAGTTAAGGAGCTTCGCCAGCGGTGTTTTTTTTTTTTTTTTTAGACTATTATCACGTCTTCTACGGAGAGAGGGAGTGCCCAACACGGTGTCACCCATCAACCAGTTTTTTGAGTGTTTCCAGCAAAAGGTTTCGATCAATGTGGGTCTCGATCCCACGACCTGCAGCTTAGAAGGCTGCCGCTCTTCCAACTGAGCTAATCAACCAATCGATGAGTTGATTGGAAACTTTTCACCGTATTTAAATAAATTTTGCTGCAAGACAACTCAATAAAAGTGATCTCTATGGATACCAATATCTATTCAGTTCTCTATCGAATTTTAAATAGCAGTTAGTTGTAATAAACTCAACAACAATAAACTTCTCCTGGAAACCCCTCTGACAATACTACTAATCAGTGATGTAAATTCGGAAAAGGTATACCTAGAATATCTTGGAGCTGAATTAAGTCGTAGTAGATTGATCGATCGGAAAATTATTTCGGGTTAGATTAATTGAACGATCATGGGGTGAGTACTGATTTCAACTCACTCTTCAATCACACCACACCCTTGATCATCATTCGGTAGTTTACATGATCAGATAAATCAATCAATTAACCCCGAAATAATTTTCAGATCAAGTAAACAAGACATCACATTTCCATATGTATTATTCATTCATATATGATTTAATTATTGACCAAAATATTTTATTAACTTGTTAATAAGAATGAAACAATTAATAATAATAGTAGTAATTTTATTATTCAATAATATTAATAGTGAACCTATCTATACTTCTTATGATTATGTTAAACCATTATTAGAGGAGCATGGTGCAGCTCTTAGAGAGTTAGTGAAGGATGGTACTCCTGTTGATGTAAAGTTCCCAACTAAAATAAGTTGTGGACATGAAAAAATATTACAAACTATATCCTCCAATCTTCCTCAACCTCTACAATCAATCCATTTACAATCAAATAATAATCCAAACAATAACAATAATAATAATGAACAAGATCTACATCCAATCAGAATAGTATTCAACGATACATATCTATCACCAAACTATATATACTCATGCTCACAAGTTGGTCAAACCATCAAACTTGAGGGAAAACAACCATATCAATGCAAGGCCGAGGATATAGTAACACCAACCCTGGTCAGATTGATCAAGAGTATTATGTTACCTCACATTTCCCAAACATTTGGTGGAATTCTGGATGTCTTTGGTCCTGATATCAATTATCTACAAGATGTCCAAACAAGTTGTCATGGTTTTAAACCCATTACCATAGACCAGAGGAATGGTTTCAAAGGTGACCTTATGGTTTATATAACTGCTTACCCAGTGTCAGAGCCAGGAGAGTTAGCAGCCGCTGTACACTGTGACCTCAGAAGTGACACTTATGCACCAATGATAGCGACTATAAATTATTCTCCAAATGCTTTTGCATCACTCACCAACATTCATAACAAATACTATCTATCTGACTTAAGAAAACTTCTAAGGTATGTATTCTAATAAGAATGAAGATCAATCTACCAATAATTTACTGACCCCGACTGAACAATACATCATCTTCACATTAGTGTTTCACTTCACGAAATGACCCATGCACTTGGATTCACTTATGCTTTGGCACCATATTATGAGTCTATCTCATTTTACCAATCAGCAACAACTACAAAGAAATACAAACAAGTGAACGCAAAAGGAAAGCACTTCAAGGTACTCAAAACTTTCATGCAAACTCCAGCTGTCAAAGCATATGTCCGAGATCACTTTGATTGTGATTCGATTCCTGGTGCCGAGTTGGAGGACTATGGAGGGTCAGGTACTGCTGGAAACCACTGGAAGGCCTCAATATTTGGAGAAGAATTGATGCTTGGTTATTTGGGAGGTAATGCACCTCTCACTGGCTTGACCCTTGCATTGTTGAAGGACACTGGATGGTACACTGTGCATGAATCAAAGGATGTCAAACCATTGATGTTTGGACTGAAGAAAGGATGTGATTTTGCACTCAAGGCATGTTCAGAGTCGACCTGGTCTTTTGAAGGATATTGGAAATCAACAGGAGATGCCTTGGGATGTTCTGCCACCAGGTCAGGAGTTGGCATTTCTCAGGTTGGAGACTACGGAACTACTCTTCCATTACGGCTTCAACACTTTGCAAATAGCTCCTGGGGTAGTTATAATGGAAGAGAGTGGGATTATTGTTTGTTCAATTCTCCAGATGCTGATGATCGAGGTAGCTCATATTATTGTTATGATACTTCAAGACAGCCCAATAGTTATGGAGAGGTATTTGGAGAGTCATCGGCTTGCTTCACCTTTCAAACCTACAACAACCGTAGTAGTAGAGTACCAACATGTCTACCTCAGAGATGCGTCAATACTGATCTACAATTCAGTTATAACTCTGTTTGGTACTCTTGTCCTACTCCTGGTTTTAGAGTTCAAATCAAAGGAGAACTCTATATAGAATGTCCAGAGGACTCTGGAATCATTTGCAAGACTGTCATCAACTCTTCTTCAATGTTTAGAGTTAATATTGTCTTTGTATATGTATTTTTATTTGTTACTGTTTTACTTTAAATAAAGAATATGTTTGTTCTATTCTATCTGAATGCTTAGAAAGTAGAAATTAAAATCCTCTTTGTTATATGATCAAGTTGAGATATGATCTAGTGTGTATGTGTATATGTATGGTGATTGTTGAAATTTTTGAACCCGTTAAAAAAATTCCCAAAAAAATCTCTCTCAAAACCTGATTTTGAACTTTTTTCGGTCATCAATTCCCCTTTGGTCTAGTGGTGAGGATTTTCGCCTGTCACGCGAAAGGCCCGGGTTCAATTCCCGGAAGGGGAGGAATTTTTTTTTTCCTTTTTWTTCCTTTCTTGAAGCTGGGAGGAATGTAGCCTGTGGAGAGGAAGTTGTTGAAGAGGTTGAGGAGTGGAGTGGCGAGAAGATTGAAGAGATCAAAGCACTGGACATCTCCACGAAGTCTCGTCGCCCCAACCTTCCATTCATCCACCTCATGGCAATCATCGTCAACTACCTCTGGCACTACATCGCCAACCACCTCTTTGGCAACAAGGAGGCCCTGTTGGCCAAGCTCAGCTTGGTGTGCATCACATCCTTCAAGTCCCTCCTCCGCCAGGAGTGGCGCTCCCTCATGTCCACGCTCACGAGTCACATCCTGGCCGGACGACCAGTCAACATCAAGAATGATTCGTTTTCCAAAGTCAACTTGCCAACTAGTTCACAAGCGCCTGGGAAGAAATGATTGATTTTGGCACTGTCTGTCTTAGTTTGAGTTGAGGTGGCTCAGGTTTGCATGCCTGGTCATTTGTTCATCCGATGACCAGTTGGAATGCCATTTGCCTGAAGCTCTTGTTGGGCCAAATGGCTGCTGTCTCCCTCAGCCACAGTGGATATAAACCACATGGCAAAGGAAACTTGGATATCCTTTAACTGATATGTATCCTGAGAAAGATAGTGGTCGAATAGGTAATCAATGTGTACCAAGGTTGCAAAACTATTTCTTTAACTTAAATTCAGTTTTTTTAATATTTGTTTTATTCTCCAAACGTTCTTTTTCCGAAGTTTTCTCTTCTGAAAGTTCCCTGAACTCGAGTTCATTATAATTTCACAACTTACTCTTCTTTATTTTAATAATATATGTATATACAGATACAATACATACAGATATAGACATGTTTCAGAAATCACCGATACATAATAGGATCAGGAGACGACTCCCACTTTTAATGCTCATCTTGTTGTTGCTTCTCAGCTTGACATTGTTTGGTTATAGATACTATATCAAGATGCTCGAACTGAATCGCCCCACCTATACAATGGAGACACTGCCACCCTTTGAACAAGAGATAATGTCAGAGACAGAAGCATTCGAATTCATGTCGTCTTCATACTTTAAGAGTCATAAGCGCAGACTCGCTGTATCAATGCCCTTCCCCGTCTTTCAAACAGAACGCACGCTAGACGCGCTGCGGCTCTGGGATGAGACGGGTCGCAAGCCGTGCATTCCTGACAGCCTGTTGGTGCCAGAAGACTTTCTGCCCGATCTACTCATGTACACCAACCGCGATGGACCAAACGAGGAGCTGGAGAGCGCCGTCACAGAGGTATTCTCAAAGAGCTCATACCAAAAGTGCTTTGGCAAGCTCGTCTTTGTATATGCCGATCTCACGCCGGAGCTCGATGCCTACCCCAATGGGCCGGGCGCACAGTTTGGAAAGTTCTTCACATTGGATATCGTCAATGATTACGACTATGTGCTTCAAGTGGAGCCAGACGTCGTACCCATCAGAAGCAAGTGGGTGGACGAGTTTGTCCGCATTACATATATGACCGAGATGACCAACCGCAGGCCATTCATGGCCGTTGGAAGCACATACCGTCCACGCGACGACAGGTACATGGACTTTCTGGAAAAGATACACGTCAATGGCAATGCAATTTGGTCGACGAGCGAACGTTTCCGACTGTTCCTGCGGAGGGTTGAGAAGGAGTACAACGGACTGCGATTCTACGATTGGCAGATATTCAAATTCCTCTATGACATGAGACACTGGAACATCAACGAGGCACATTATGGAGAGTTTATGTTCTCTGACTATATCCAAAACTTCTCGTGGTGGCCTTATGATGAAGAGGAGATCAGAGTAAACTACCCAAGGACATACTTGATTCATGGTAATAAACATACTCTTTAAATGCATGAATGAATGCCCTTATCATCATGACATTTTGAAGTGCTAAACCCGCTCATGTTGGGAGGAGGACGGCTCACAAGTTTGCACTTACGAGTTGGATGATTCACGAGAGTGAAGTGATGTTCAATGGGCAAAAATGATGTAATAGCGTGTGGTTTAAGCCATCTGCCTTCCACAAAGGAACCAACAAAGGACATGGCTCCATGATGGAGTTTGTGTTTTAGTTGGAGGTACATGAGGTAAACATTGAATGATCAAAAAGTTTTGCACCCTATGGGGTTCGAACCCATGATGGCGAAGCCACTGAGACCTGAACTCAGCCCCTTAACCTCTCGGGCAAAGGTGCGTGTGAATGTTGGGAGATGCAAAAATTCTAGTTTTAGAGCTAAAAAAATTTCCCAATATTTTAATGATGTTTTTACATGATTTTGTTCAGTTGGTAACAATGATCATCGATATTTATTTCCTCATTGGCAGATGGTTGGTCCTTAGGTTTGTTACAATGGCGATGGGCTTATCTGTTCCAGTGATCTGATTGTTTGGTGATGTCGATAGTGCATAGGTCAAAAAGTGGCAGGTCCTGCATTTGTACAATATCCAGTCCTTCTTTCTTGATTTGGATGGATTGGCAACCCTTTAAATAATAAATAGTGTTTGGTTAGCATCAATGGATGGTTGATTGGTACATGTTGAGTTGCATGCCTGGATGACTTACTCAACTGAAGATCGTTTGTAGTCACCAACAACATTGGTTATGTTGGTGTAGCCCCACATGACATGTTTGGATGAGCCAAAGTTGTGCAGCTTCTTCATCTCGAGAAGGAATGCAGAGCAGCCAAGGAAGTTGGGACAGTCATCGCTTCGTTCACAACAACAGTGTCGCGGGTTGTTGAATCGAGATGAATCGAATGGTGTCAGAAGTGTAAAGACACAAGCTCCACATAGGCATTGATACTGGGTGGTGTTGTTGGCGTAGGTCTCCACGCCACCGCCCCAATCCGCCAGTCCCTTTTGAGTTCGCCTCTGTCTGCCCCAGCGACAGAGTTGCTCGACAAAGCCTTGGTTCGGGTTGACAATGTATCGATGGTCTCTGATCAAGATGAACGCTTCAAAGTAGCTGATTGATCTCGAGTCCATAAAGTATCCAATGGCCAATGCTGCTGATCTGGACACGCCCTTATCAGAGACGATCAGTACTCTTCCTTGATGCATGATTGCGTCACGAATAAAGTCAAAGGCCGACGTCAATGAGTGAAGAATATCCTGTGAGGGGTCGTCGTGCAGTTGCAGGTGAAGATACTCAAAGTGATCAGGGAATGCGTTTGGTGAACCTGTACAGTTGATGATGTGAGTGATGTCTGTGCGTGTGGAAGGCAGGAGGGATGAGTAATCTAGGAGCCGGACTGAGCCATTACCAGGTATACATACGGAAATCATTCTTTAACATATTCTTGTTCATCGATGGGTTGAATGAAGAGATGTACATGAATGAGGTGATCTTTGAGGGTATCTCCATGAGGTACTTGTGCTCGGGGAACTCGGGTGGCTCATGGGGTAGCTCAGGCAACAGGTTGAACTCGTGAAGACGTGATTGGGAGTTGTTGTTGGACTTGGTGGGGTTGTTGAGTACATTGTAGGTGTGCGGCAGGAATCGACCTGGACCATAGTGTCCGCTGGAGCGGTTGGTTCCTTTGTATCTGGTGCCATCGCCACCATTGTAGTAGAGGCGTGGCTGGTTCTGGTTGTGCAGCTGTTCGTTGTCCAGTTGCTGCTTCAGTTGCTCCAGCTGCGCCATGATGACCGGCTTGATCGAGGTGAACTTGGTCAGCAGGTCTCTGAGCGTGGGTCGATAGAAGGGGTCGCGGACAAAGACAAAGTCCATAAACTCGAGGATCGCCGGTATGTTGTGGATCTTTGACTTCCTGTCCTGTGTGATGAGCTCCTGGCCTGGCTGGGTGACTCTGATGAAGAATTTGACCCAGTCGTCGTCGTAGAACAGGAACTCGCCCGTGAGCAGCTCGTAGAAAAGACAGCCGAGCGACCAGACGTCGCTTGCGGTGTTTGATCCGACCTTTTTACGACGGTCAAAGTTCTCGCGTGTCTTTTGACTGGCATAGGCAATGGCCAGCATCTCTGGACTCTTGATGAACTCTGTGCCACGATTCCTTGTCGTGTAGCCCTCAATGTCTGCCGAGTACACCTTGGCCTCGCCCCAATCAGCCAAACAAACTACAAAGTTTGGATCATACGTTGGCTGATTCCAAAAGTCCTCCTCAATCGTGCCCTTCTTGATTGGATGCACAAGGAAGTTGTCACACTTGATGTCAAAGTGATTGATCTCTGTGTGATTGTGATTGATTGATATAGTTATGTTAGTGATTGATTGATTGATTGATTGAGTGCACTGCCATTCTATACTTACTGTTCTCAACGAGGAACTGGACGGTCTGAAGGACATTCATGTAGATGTTGAGGTAGAGAGGCAGCTGCTGCAGGAAGTGGCCGGTTTGTTTGAGTCGCCACTCTTTTAGTGAGCACTTGTAGGACTTCATCACGATCCAGTAGTTTTCGCCATCGACACCATAGTCAAACATGTGACAGGCACGAAGATCACTCCTAAAGTTGTCCATGATAAGGATCTCTGTGAAGATGTCGTGCAGGGCACATCGGTCATGGATGGACTTGGGCACGGACATGAGCTTGGCAGCGATCTCCAGTCCCTCATCATAGCCCAGTGTGCCCTTGTACACTGTACCGTAGGCACCCTTGGCCACTCGCTTCAGGTCCTTGAACAGAGACGAGTGGAACAACTTGTTGAAGAGGAGCTTCAACACTCGGAAGTAGTTGAGTCCCATCTCGAGGGTGCGTTGACACAGCTCAGGGATCAGACTCTCATTCTGATGATGATTGATGTGCTGCTGCAGGATGAATGGCACGTTCAACTTCTTGGCCACAAGTGGGAATTGGTCCGAGTATAGCTGCTCCAGCGTGTGATTCGAGTTGAGCAAAAGACTAAAGATGAGCTGCAGAATGGAGATGTGCAGGTCCTTGTCGTGGTACAGCTTTCGATTGTTTCTCTCGACCTTGTAACGATGCAGCTCTTTTGCTGTCGGCTCGGCTGAGGTCGCATCGCTGGCGGCCTGCGCCACAGCAGATGCTGCTGGCACTGGATTTCCAAGTACTAGTTGGAACTTGGGGTCCTGTGGATCGATCTTTTGTTCGATGGCAGAGAGCAATCCAGGTGCTTGAACAGAGTCAGACAGTGACTTGACCTCACTCTCTGTGGAGCGAACTTTGACCAGGGGCAGTGTGAGCTTTGGTATGGATATCTTTGGTATTGCTGCAAGACCAGGCTTGGGAGGGGAGGTTGTTGCCGCTGTCGTTGTCGTTGCTGTTGCTGGGGTGGTAGAGGTTGATAATGAAGGTACTGGCTTGGAGATGGTTTGGACTGGCTGGGGGATGGGTGGTTGTGTGATTGGAGGGACCTTGGGAGGGATTGATGGTAATGGCGCTACTGTGTTGGTGCTTGGTGATTTGTCGCCAATCTTTGGCGGTAGCTTCAGAGGTGGAAGCTTGGGTTTGAATGATGCTAGGGCACCACTGGGTATATTTACAGGTGGTGGTGCTGATGATGTCCTGACTGTATCAGCCGGTTTGTTTGTGGCAGTTGTTGTCGTCGTCGTTGTTGATGTTGATGATGTTTGGCCATCCTTCCTAAAGAAGAAAGGTTCGATAAAGTGATCCCTATTCTGTTTGATCTCATACTCCAAGTTGACCTCCCTCACCAAGAAGTCCATCGTCTTTAACTGATAGAACTTCATCGTTATCTTCTCGTTCTTGCTAGTATAGTGTAGAGTAGTGATGGATAGAGTGTGGGTAAGTATGGAATATGTACTATGCCATGATCAGGCAAACTAACTTACTTGACTGAGAATGCTATCAGTATGTTGAGGATAAGTTTACAAAGTGACAGTGTCTGTGAATCGATTACATAGTTGTTGTACAGTTTGATGAAGCTAATGTAGAAGTAGCTATAGTTGGGTGAATATGACAGAGAGGTGTTAGATGATGTGGATGGCCAAGGAATTGGCTGGACTAATCAATCATACCTTATGTATGCATCAATGTAGAGCTTCTTCTTGGTGAATGGGTTCCACTTGAATGAGAAGATGGTGTTGAGCAGCTCAAGCATTAGTCGCTTGGTCTCAAAGTGTGTGGAGTAGGCAGAGGCTTGAAGGAAGGGCAGGATCACACCGCCAGTGGGCAGCAACAGGTACTCCATCTTCTTGACAAGTTCGCTCGTGTGTTGATTGTCAGCCTCAGTGTTGGACTCGCCCTGTGTTCGCTTGAGCATCCTCACACACACCAGATGATGCTTGAGTACTCGCGAGCGAAGCTCAACTAGCATCTGTCTGCGTTCGGCAGCGTGTTGGGTGGGCATACCGCCAGTGCCACTGCTGTTCTTGAGAAGCTCGCGCTCCACATTGTCGTTTGCCAGTAGATATTGAGTGTAGTGGCGGATGAAGTGGAAGGTGTCGTCGCGCTCAATGAATATTGCCAGGAACATGTCGTTTAGTGGCGGATGCATGTTCTGGTCAATGATGGCATCGAATATACAGAGAAGGTAGTGGATGATGTGTAGATCCCTGAAGCGCTCGCTGGTGATCTTGCCCTTGAAGATGTAGTGTTTGATGCGCAGCAGCGCCTCGATGCACACGTCGACCACTTGAGACGGCATGATACGCGTGGGACAATGCTCAATGTAGTCGGCCAGCAGATGCAGCTGGTGCTCCAGGTCACCAACGATGTTCGTGTCGATCACATAACGTATGTTGTTGTTGATTCGCCAGAGCAGCACGTCCAGCTTCTTTCTGAATGCTGCCTTTCGGTCTGATGACATACCCTTGGTCACATCATTCCATCTGATCCTATGAATGTACTCTACATAGTCTGCCCAGTTACCTGCCAACTGGAACACCAGCTTCAAGTACTCCCCATCAGCTGGGATGATACCCTTGTAAACCAGCAGTAACTCAGAGTACAGCAAGTTCATTGGGTTGTTGACGTACTGTTTATGGGAGGACGCAATGTGAGTCAGCATGAGTGATCAATCAATCATTCAATCAATCAATCGATCAATCAAACTTACTTGGAGAAGCCAAAGATTGTAAGAGGTGAGAGCAATGACAGTCTTCATGATGAAGCATCTCACTTTGAAGAGATTGGAGTTCTTGTATGAGTTGATGTCTGGGGAGAGTGAATGAGTGTCTGATGAGACACCCGCCGAAGTATCTGGTATGATCAGTCGCTTGGGAGCATAACTATTCCTCTTCAATGTAGTCGATGATATATGTGCATCAACTGCCTGCTTGTAAGACATCAGTGCAGACAAGTCGGTTGTCATGTCTAGGGATTATCCACATGGGTTAGTATGATCGCTCGAGTTTGATCCTTCCTTTGTACATACATGTCTCTCCAAGCTTGGTGGCTATATCGCTTAGCTCCTTGGATGTGTTGGTCTCCACCTTGCCTACGTCACCTCCTGTCAGACTCCTTGTCGAGGAGTTGGAGTCATCGCGTCGCCTTGAACTTCTGGTCATCTTGGCGCTGTTCTCCACTCGCATGGGTAGGTTCAATCGTGGAATGATTGGCTTTGGTATCCGAGAAGCTGAGGAGGAGTTGGACGATGTCGGACTGGTGGGCAGTGACATTGGACTGTATGTAACAGTGCGATTGGAACCAGCCGACAATGAAGAAGCCGATGATGTGGACATTGACAGAGGCTTGAGATTCAAGGGTGGTACTAGTGAGTTGCCATGATGTTGTTGTTGATGTTGTTGCTGTGGATGTGATGCTACTATGGATGGTGACTCGGTTGGTGATGATCCATTGCTTGCTGTGGCATTGGCCTCATCGTTGCGAATCGCTCCCGACGAAGACTCTCTTAGATTGCGTCTTGATGATATGAAGCTGCCCTTGTTGTTGTTGCTACTACTCTGCTGTTGTTGCTGCTGTTGTTGTTGCTGTTGCTGTTGAATGCCGCCACTACTTGATAGTGGTGTTGGAGATAGGATTGCACCGGGTGGGGAGAAGTTGGCCGATGATATCAATAGGTCTGCATAACCATTGGCCGGTATATCGACTGGCCTATCAATGACACATACTCCTCCACTCCTCTTTTGTGACATGGCAACAGTGCCCTTGTAGTATATCTCCAGTAGTCTAGGTATACACAGATCCTCAATGAATATCTAGATGCATGTGGCCTATCGAGTTAGTTCAAGTATCCCAGTATATCGAGATACTGAAGGACAAGGACATACCGATCGCAAAGGATATAATGCTATCAGCTTAGACAGTGTCTCGGCAATGCCTACACACTCAATCTCATCATAGAGATGTGATATCAACTGTTTACAAAACAGTCTTGATGCCTCGTGGCTATTATCAATCAATTGTTGGCATATCTAAAGTGCATGCAGCATGTCAGCCCAGCGTCAACGCGACTAGATTGACTGTCGACTTCACATACCTCTAGAGCAAGATCACTGTTACAAGATATCTTGCCACAGTAACAGACGCATTGTATCAGGATTGTGAGACCACCTCTTGATATACAATAGTTCTTCTCGGTGGTGTCCATTGACTTGGCCTTGTCCAGTATTGTTTCAAGTAGAGGCAGTCCCTCCTTTGTGAATTGTTGTTGTTGTTGTTGTGATGCATGTGCACTATTACTACTACTACTATTATTACTATTACGTGTATTTATAAGAGCATTGAGAGTACCAAAGTGTTGCTCTACAGCTCTACCCTTTGGTGACACTGTTGATCCCGACCTATTCTTTCTCCGAAACTCCATCATTGTATGTTGTTGATCATCTATCTGTATAACTACCTGAAATTAACAACCTGTCTAGCTATCTACAATACAATTACTTCTATCTATACAAAAGCAACAACAATGAATGAATAAGTTCTTGTCCCGCGATCGACTCTAACTCCCCCACACACAGCCACTGATTGTAAGAGATGCAGTCAGGCATCTTCCTAGAAGGTTTATTATCCTTGTCAAGGACTTATAGTTTCGTAACGTTGTTGTAATAATCATGAGAGGTGTGTAATAATCAATCCTAACTCCCATTATCCTTATCCTTATCCATTATCCATTTTCAATTTTCCATTATGTAAACATTCTTGGCGCAATGGACATGGCCATCAACTCTTGGAAGAGTAGCTTGGCGGCATAGGGCATGCGTACTTGAGAGATCTGTGTCTTGTTCTTGCATCGCCTGCACTCGTAGTGATTCTTTTTAAGGTTGGCAATAGCGATCAAACCACATATGTCACATACGTGGACACGATAGCTGTCCGATTGATCAAACAGTCTCTCCTTGAGGAACTGAGCAGCGCCGTGAGAAATCATGCAATCGCGCTCCATCTCGCCGAATCTAAGACCTCCGTCTCTAGAACGACCCTCGACAGGCTGGCGAGTGAGGATTTGAACTGGACCTCTTGAACGAGAGTGGATCTTATCGTCGACCATATGCTTCAAACGCTGGTAGTATGTGGGTCCGATGAAGATCTGTGCCTCAAGTCTGCGACCAGTGTGTCCGTTGTAGAGCACCTCGTGGCCAGTCATCTGGTAGCCAATCTTGTGCAGCTCCTTGGAGATGGCCTCCACTGTGACATCGGTGAATGGTGTGGCGTCACCCTCGTCTCCAGACATGGCCGACACCTTGCCCAGAAGACATTCGATCAGCTGACCAATAGTCATACGCGAGGGAATGGCGTGAGGGTTCACAATAATATCGGGCACGACACCCTCAACAGTCCATGGCAGGTCCTCTTGGCGGTAGGTCATACCACAGGTTCCCTTCTGTCCGTGACGCGAGGAGAACTTGTCACCGATCTGTGGTGTTCTCATTGAGCGTACACGCACCTTGGTGAACTTGAGACCAGCCTCGCTGGTTGTCAACACCACTGAGTCGACAATGCCGTTCTCTGATGAACGCATCGCTGTGCTGCTGTCTCTCTTGGTCTGACGCTTGCTCTTTGGACCGAGGTCCTCGTCCTGAGGTGGGAGAGGGGTGGTCTTGCCAATGATGATGTCGTCACCAGTGACACGGACACCAGGTGGCACAAGACCATCCTCGTCGATCTTCTCATAACTGCCGTGGCGCATGCCGACGCAAGTGTCCCTGTCGGGCTTCTCAAAGGTCTCCTCGTCGAGTGCATACTGCTTCTTCTGCTCGTCCTTGTATGAACGGTAGAACATCGAACGGAACATGCCACGATCAATTGACGACTGGTTGAGAATGAGCGAATCCTCTTGGTTGTAGCCAGAGTAACAGGCAATGGCCACACACACGTTCTGACCGGCGGGCAACTCACGGAAGTGAAGATATTGCATGGAGCGGGTGGTGACCAGTGGCTTCTGTGGATAGAAAAGCACGTGTGCCATTGTGTCCATGCGAAGTTGGTAGTTGGAGATGTAAACGCCCATAGCCTGCTTACCCATAGCACTGTTGTGAACGTAGAATCCGCTACCACCAATGAAGCTGTGGTTCTCAGACTCGGTTGTCAGATCGGCAATGAGGCAGTTGTCGGTGGGCTCAACGGCCGACACGGGCACGAACAGAGAATCACCGTGTGCCTTGATGCGCGACGTCCACTGTACCTGACCTTGGCAGGGCAGGCCAAGTTGCTGCTGGCGCATCTGGTACTTGATGTACTCGGACAGTGAGGCAAGCTCGATCAGCTTCTGGTAGTTGTAGCATACGCCAACTCTCTCGAGATAGTTGACAATGTTTGATCGGTTGGTCAATGAGATGACGATGCCAGTGTGCTCTGCGACCGTCTTGGTGCCAAGTGTCTCGATGTTGAAACGCTCGTACATCGTGTGCAACTGAGTCAGCATCGATGTGCTGTGCTGGCCAGCAAAGAGGAAGGCCTGTGTCTTGGAGAACTGGATGTTTGGCGATTGAAGCGAGGACAAGTACTCCTTCTGCACCATGGCCGAGCCGTCGACGATCCACTGAGGGATCGACTGTTGCTGTGTGAACATGCCAAGGCCACAAAGTAGGGTGACCAACACATCGGTGCTCTGATGAACGATCTGGTAGCGTTGGCTGGCCTGATCAGCGCGCTTGAACTTGTGCTCTCCGAGACCCAACACCATGAGGTCCCTTCTATATTTCCTGGCGGCAGGCTTGCTGTCGAATGTCAGCTTGATGCTGTTTGTGATGTCGCTGTTGTTGTTGGCAGTCGAGGAGATGTATCCGTAGATCCTCGCAAGAGTCTGTGTGGTGGCTTGGTCGATCGAGGAGCCGGACTTGATCAATCCAATGCTGCGCAATGTGTTGATATTTCGTTGATGTTGTTGATTATTTACACGTAGTTTGTCCAATAGTTGATTGAGCATTGCTTGATCGATGTGCAATGCTTGAGTGTTGTTACTATTCTGTTGTTGTTGTTGAATGGTCACGGCATAGTTATTATTCTGAACCATTGATATTGCTACAAGAGTCTGAGTTGGCTGCAGTTTGTTGACTGGTGACCATCCGTTCGATGTCATAAACATGTGGTCCTCAGTGGCTACGAGCGAGCGGCCCGACTCGGTGATGACGCGGAATATCTTCTTGTCTGTGGGACGAACATATTGGTGCACGACCTTGCTGCTCGACTGGCGCATTGTCTGCCAGTGGAACGTGACGACTTCCTCGCCAACCTTGACGTCCTTGATGGCCTTGGTCTGGCCGTTGGCCATCAGCACTGGCTCCTCCAGCCACAGACACTGGTAAGTGTTACGTGGCGACTGGTTGTGATCGGGGAATGGAATGATCGAACAACAGATACCCAGGATCATCGATGGATGAATCTCACAATGAGTGTAGTTGTGCGAGATGATGTCGGTGGGCGACTGCACCAGCTCGGACGGCGTCATGGCAATCATGACGGTCTCCTCCTCCTCTGTGTCGATGTACTCCACAAGACCCTCAGTGATCAACTGCGCCCAGTTGTAGCCGCCGTTGTTCTTGAGTGAGTCCTCGAGCTTCTCGATGTGGCTCTTCTTGATGGTCAGTCTGTTGTCCTTGTCGTTGACGACGAACAGTGGACGACCACAACGACCACTGTCGGTGTACAGTCTCAGCTCCTTCTCGGGGATGTCACGCACGATGGAAATCTCCACGGAGAAGTCTCCACAACGTCTGATCAGACGCAGGGTCTTGAGCAGGTTGTCGGGGTTGTGATGGATACCCACCCACAGACCGTTGAGGAATACCTTGGTGGCGTTGTGGATGGTGGACGGATCAGTGATCTCCTCGAGGTTCTCTGTGCTCCACTCCTCAAGGAACTCGAGCAGTGGCTGTGACGACGAGCCGACAGAGATGTACGACATCATAGCCAGGTTCTTGACGAGACCACAAGCCTGACCCTCGGGAGTCTCGGACGGACACACCAGACCCCAATGAGTGTTGTGCAGCTGACGTGGCTTGGCAAGCTTTCCCTCTCTGCCAATGGGCGTGTTGAGACGACGGAGATGACTGAGTGTCGAGGCGAATGTCAAACGGTTGAGCACCTGGGCCACACCGGCTCTGGCTCCAGTGTTGGCGGCACCCCAGTTACCTGTGGCCAACGAGTACTTGAGACCCGATGTGATAGTCTTGGTCTTGATGGCACTGCTTGGGAAGAACTCTCTGCCCTTGTCCACACACTTTTGCACGTACATACGAACGTCCTTGTTCACCTTCTTGAACAGCTGACGGAAGAGGGTACCCAGCAGCGGACCGGCCAGATCCAGCCTCTTGTTGGCAAAGTGATCTCTGTCGTCAAGAGGTCTGCGCTCGAGGGCAGCCAACAACAGTCGATGCACGATGTAGCCAAAGTAGTAGGCCTTCTTCGTCTCAAAGTACTCGGCGACAGAGACGTGCGGAAGCATCTCCTTCTGCAGCACCTCACGTGCAAACTTGATTCTTTGCTCTCGCGTGCCTGTCGTGCTGCCACGCTTGCCAAGGTAGTCGAGTGCCACCTCCTGATTCTGGATGACGAATGACTCCTCCAGTGATGGTCTCATCAGGTCCATCATCTGCTGATCGGAGAAGTCATAACAGATGTGCTCCAGGATATCCTTATCGGCTACAAAGCCCAATGCTCTAAAGACAATCACGATTGGGACATCTTGTTTGATATATGGTATAGTTGTTTTCATTCCAGTTGTACCCTATTGATGTGATGTTGATTGATCAGTATGATTGAATGATTGAGTGATCGAGTGATTGCGTCCACTTTGAACATACCTTGCTTGAACTCTGGAGCATCTTGACGTACATGGTACTGGTTGGACGTGAACCGGTCTCTTGACAGGAACGAATTTCTGCGACATATGAGTACTTTGATGGTGGCGTCTTCTTGAAGACGTAGACGTGGTTGTGCGACATCTTCTCCTGAGCGATCAACACCTTCTCGGATCCGTTGATGATGAAGTAGCCTCCCTGATCGATGGAGCACTCACCCAACATTGCCATATCTATATCGTTGGTCTCGTCCAGCATACAATACTTGGAGCGCAACATGATGGGCACTCTGCCGATGAGCGTCTTTTGTAGCAGCTCCTCTTTGCGCTCTCCGCCCGACACCTCGATCTTTGTGATATCGGCGTACAGTGGTGCAGAGTACGTCAGATTCCTGATTCTCGCCTGGTTCGGTGTAAGATTCTGTGATGTTCCATCTGTCTCTGTTGTAGGTTTACTCAGATAAATCTGTCCAAACTTAATAGAGAGTGATGATATCTGATGTCATATGATTGATTGATTGATTGATTGATGATGAGTAAGTTGACGAAAATCAATCATAGTTCGTAATAATGGCACTCCTTACATTGTTGACCTGCTGTTGACCTGGATGATGTTGTTGCTCTGGTCTTATTGTGATTGGAGGTGACTCATCGATGATCTCTTGCATTGTGTTCTGGATGAACTCGTCAAAGGAATCCAATTGCTGACGCACAAGACCCTTCTCTTGGAAGTATGCTGTGATTACATGCCATGCATCATCCTGTGAAATCTCCTCATTACCTGTAAGATCATTATACAAAATATATTGTCAATGAATGTTCATCGACTACCTCCCTGCCACTCATTCATTGATTGATTGATTGATTGACTGATTGCTAATGTGTTTCTTACCTCCATCTTCATTCATATTATAATCATTCATTGTGTTATATCTATCTTCACTTCACTCTTGTGAATGATGTTTGTTTGTTTTTTTTTTGTTTGTTTATGTTTAATATTTAAAGTGACTCACTCGAAGTGTAATAAATACCTGCTGCTGCTAACTGAACTATGATAATATTATATTATATTATTATTGAAACAAATAAAACTAGTTTGTTAATATCTCTTTGTTATTATTTGTTTGTTCAGATGCGAGCCAACGAAGAATGAACCCACACTGCCTCAACAACAACTTCAAATCATTTCTGTTTCTTCATCACCTTTTCAAAATTCAAAAAAATTAGTCATACCAAGTGCTTTGATTGCTCTTCAACCTGAACCTTGGAACTTCACAGTCATTCTTGAAAGTTGGATTGATTGATTGATTCATTAGTACATACATACATATACAACAGATGACGTCTAGATCATCAACACCACCAACATCAACTACGACAACTACTACAACAATGACGCAACCACTCGTCTCAATCGACTTGAAACAATTGATCGATGTATGTATGAATGGTGAGGCATGATGTAATCAATCATAATACTTGTACTAAACTTATATTATAGAATCTGATACATAGTGCAGTTAAATGTGATATAGCAACTAATGTCAATAAGGATGCGATTAAAGAGTCAATGGAGAAGGCATTGCCATTGTTTGACAAGACAAAGATGACAGAGCCACAACAAGTTGAATGGAGATCAAATGTTGAGATCCCTCTCAGGCAATCACTAGGTCAGCTATTCGTATGTACTGCTGTGCATGAACAATCAATCGACCAATGCTAACTCACTCAATCAATACTTATAGAAATCGGATCAAACAAGTATACAACAGATAGATAACTTGATACAGTTCATTATATACTTGTTTGAACTTGGTTATATTGATACGATGCTTGTGTATCTGTTGGAGGACATGTTCGATAGTAACTCAATCAGTAGATCGATACAGTTGTTTGCATTGTTAGAGTCACGCGTGGAGTTCTTCTCACAGGATGCACTGGTCTCCAGCACGTCCAAGTCCAAATTGGTCATCATCAAGATATGTGTGGAGCTGCTGCGTCGCCTGTCCAAGTCGACCAATCCTGAGTCGTGTGGACGTGTGCTCATCTTCCTGGCCTACCTCTTCCCGCTGTCGGACCCCTCGGGTCTCAACTCCAAGAGTGTAAACAACCTGCGTCCAGACGATCTGATACGTGGCGACTCTTTGATCGATGGCGGCGACGTGGCCATGCAGGTGGACTCATCGATCAGCGACACGACCACCGTCGACATGAACTTCTACAAGCAGTTCTGGGCACTGCAGAGCTACTTCCAGAATCCATACCAGCTAATCACCAATGGGCCAGCATCGGGCTTTGTCTCGGGCAATGCGGCCACACTCAACAAGGAGCGATGGACACATTTCACTCAATCGATCGACTTGGTGTTGACTACATTCGCGACACACATCAATCTTGACGAGTTGGCATCACTACCCAAGGATCACTACTTCACCAAATATCTCACCAACAGCAACCTTATGAAGCTTCAACTGAAAGACTCCATCTTCCGTCGTAACATCCTCACTCAACTGCTCTTCACATTCCAATTCCTCGACGTTACATCTCACAAGAACCCAACCCTATTCACAGACGAGCATGTAAGTATCATTGATTGATTGATGGGATTGTTCCAGGATCATTCATTGACACGCCAACCCACCTCTAGAAACAATCAATCCAGAATCAAAGTATCAAAGCGATCAAGATACTATCACAAACTCAACCGAATGGCAATCAGTTTGCAGAATGTTTGAATATGGTGTTGAAGAGGGAGACGAATTGGATCGCTTGGAAACGCGATCAATCATGTAAATCATTCGAGAAACCAAGCTGTCCTCCAATAGTGGTCAAGAGGAGGAAGGTCAAGAAGCACGACCCGTCCAAGGTGTCGCTGGGCAACGCCGAACTGTCCAGACTGTGGAACATCTCCAACGACAACCACGAGTTCCTCAAGCAAGAGACCAAGCTATCGCTCGACACCTATCTAATGCCACTGCGCAGCGAGAAGGTGCGCCTGGACGAAGAGGCGCGCGCCGAGGCCGAGAAGAAGGAGCGACGCAAGCAAAAGGAGATCAAGAGGCACGAGGAGCATGAGAAGCGCCAACAAGATCTGGCCGAGAAGAAGCGCAAGAACCCAGAGTATGAGCCGACCGAAGAGGATGAGGATCCCATCGAGGTGGACTCTGATGACTTGGAGGACTTGGACGAGCCACAGCCACTGCTCAAGGATGATCAGATGTACATATGGAAGACGTTGCGATTGATGTCACGTCAGCGACTCGAGTGCTTCAAGGCGTCCGATTCCAAACTCAACGTCGACAACATTGTCCAAGCATACTTCCAAAAGGCAGTTCAGTCGCCCAAGATGTCCAAAGGCTCTGTCTCTGGCAACAACAATCAAATGATCATTGACAAGCCACTCTCTGCTCCACCTCCTCCCACTTCATCCGTGTGATGTAAGATGGATACCCTTTGTGGACTCTGATGGAACCTGCCACTGCAAAGCCAGCAAGCCAGGCCAAAGAAGGAACACATTAAACCATAGCTCCCCGATACTAAATGTTAAAAAACATAATGGGTATCTACCCTGTGTAACATCGTGTATAATGCATCACGACAACATTAATGATGGTCCATTAATGAATCCAACCATTGCAATGGCCAAACAAAAACACTAATTAATGAACGACGTTCTAATAATGTTGCTGATGTTGTCCTTTTGATCACGCAAACAAGATACATGTAACGCATCACCGCATGACCTCCCCACGAACCAAGAGTCTGCCCATTCTCTGTTTAGTTAGTTAGGGCACAGTGGTATTGGGGGACGTACCTGTAGCCCCACACTGTTTCATCAAACTTGCCGGATCAAAGGCGGCAGTGTGGCTGTAGGATGGGCAAACTTGAAGGCCATCAAGTTGTGTTCAATTTCGCAATGTTACAATTGTTATACGCTCTGCCCATGATCAGAACAATAAAGTACAACTTATTGAGAATCTTTCGATCATCACTCCATCATCAATCAAACAGTCTTGTACATCGTCATCAATCATCTTACTAGAGATATTATTTGTTCATTCATTCATTCATTCATTCACTTTTAATACATAGTCATAAAGTAAAGATAACAGGAACCTAGCACACATACATTGACTTGATCAACTAATCAACGTAAGGAGTCAGTCAAGACAAGATTGGATGTTTGTCCTTTCAATTAGTATCTGTTGTTTTGTTTAAAAGTACGATCGATAATTGGATAGACGATAGACGATGGATTGATTGATTGATTGATTGGTGTGTGGGTATAAGCTTACAACGATTGATACCTTTTCATTTATATGTTCATAATGAGTGGATGATCAATCACACACCGATCCATCAAAAGTTGGCAATGGATAATGGTCTGTTGTTGGTGTGTACACGTCTTGCCTCAAAGAGGCAGAGATCAATCATGACAGGTCGATGATAGGCCTATTACACTATCCATCCTCATCATCCATCAATTACCAGTTCAGGCCACAACCATTAGCCCCCACCTATCGGAAACGCAATAGAGCATGCTATAAATGACACACACACTTCTCTACCTCCCCCAATCAGCGGGGTGGTTTGATCACAACTAATACACACACACACACACACACACTCTAACACAAATACAAACACACACAATCTTGTTTCATCACCTTTGTTGTTGTTGATCTGCCTTTATGTTTAGCACGTGTTTCTAACATTAAGTTGATAAAGGGCTTAGTCAGGTGTGCGAGTCCTCCTTGGTGTTCTATCTCTACCACCACTATTGTGTGTGTGATTGGTGTCGCCAACAACGACGTTTATATTTTAAACGACTTGGCATCACATCCACATCCATCCATCCGTCCGTTCACCATCACACTCATACTCTAGAGTATATCCTCTTTGCTCGGTACTCTCATTATTACAATGCTCATCCCTTCTTGCTTGGTGGTGCCAAACACCTTCCTAGTGTGTCAGCCAAGCCCACACATACATGGCTACTACCTACCTATCCTGTCTTTTAAACGACATCCCAAAAGATATCACTTCCACATATTTAGTTTAGTACTACAGTAGTACTACATCTTTGGCCTCCATTAGTCCACCCCCCCTTCACCTATCCATCCATTCATTCATTCATACCTTCAACACCAAGGACGACCAGCTCCGGCTGTCAATCAATTAATCAAACATTCACCACCTGAGACAGTCGTTCTAAACCATCCAACAACACATCAATCCAACAACAACAAATATAAAACATAAAGATACAGTAGTGAGAGAGAGATACATCATCGACAACAACGACTGCACGCTTGGATTATCATTCAGTGAACAAACAGCAAACCCAAGGTATGAATGACAAATTGTCAATCTTCATTCATTCATTCAATCAATCACGTGTTGTTGTTGTCTTTGATTGATTGGCTGGTCAGCCCCACTATAAATAATATAAATATAATGTTGTTGTTTGTTGTTTGTTGTTCTATCTCTACCATACCATACTATGCCATACCATACCATGCCCATACCCATCAATCAATCAAATATTCCAACACACCATCGGTATCGATCATACACTATCCGCCAAGTGTATCATCCTCTTCCAACAACAAAGTTGCGTGCGTCTATTTTTATTACTTTGTTTATGTGTGTGTGTGTGTGTTTGTGATTATTTGTTTGTGTTTGTGTGTCTTTGAAGGTGATTGTGGCCTGACCACGACCAACCAAGCCAATCACCCTCACCACACCAGTGTTGTTGTTGTTGTCGCACCAGTGCCAGAGATCGGTTATACACTTCATCTCTCAGCGACAACAACAACAACAATAACAACTACAACACTGTTGTTGCCTCACCCCTCCCTCTATGCGTCCTTGAAGTTGGTTGGTCTCGATTCACCTCGCCATATCTAGCTTAGAAAGGTTACACTTTATCCATGACCTTTGGGCTTTGGCATGGTATGGTCGTGTGACCTTCATTCCCTACCTATCTGTTGTTTATGTATGTCTGTGTGATTGATGGTATATATGTTCAAGCCTAATGAATGGAATGACAACATGAATACCATGAGTGTGTGTGTGTGTCACAGGGGCAAGGTGGGCAGGTAGGAGTAGGAGTCTGGAATCGACGGGATGGTGACGGCTCGGCTATATGTCGGTTAATCAATCTCCTCTTTTGCCCATTTAATCAATTAACAACATCAACATCCATCAACAACAATCTTATTTGTATAACAACAACCTACCTTCTTATCCAATCAACATCGTCCAACTAACAATCCAAGGCCACTCACTTAACAATTCTCCAGAGTACTGTATTCTTATCCATTCGCACCAACAACAACGAACGATTCAATCATTCAATCAATCAATCATTCATAGTAACTCTCTATTTTATGTATAACAATAACTAAATTGTAAGTTCAATCAATCACATGAAACTGGAATAATAGTTATTAATATTCTGATTTATTTTAGATAAAGATGGAGATAGAAATGCTTTTAAATTCAAATAAGGCCGAGGCCAAAGACAAAACTTTACCAGTTGTGCCGCCACAGGCACAGCCACAAACTCAAATTCAAACTCAAACACATACTCCTACTCCACCATATCCATCACCATCATTCACATCAACACCTGCACCTCCAGCTTTTTTCCAACAACAACAGCAACCACAACCAACAATGGTTACAAATGGTAATCCATTGGCTTACTTCCAAGCTCCACCACCTCCACCCCCAGCCTACTTCCAAACGCCACCTCCACAGCCCGCCACACTTCATCTTATCCAGCAACACCACATGTTGCAACAGCAGTTGATCCAAGCGCAGCAACAGAACCAAATACTTCAGATGCATCTGCATCAGCAGGCGGCCCAGAACTTTATGGCACTCAGCCAGCAGTCGCCTCTGCTGACGGGCCGTGGCGGCTCGCCCTCCGTCCAGAGTTCAAACTCGCCGGTGGTGCTCAGCGGCTCACCGATCATTGCCAACTCACCCAGTCTCAAGGCCAAGCCATCGTTCACATACTCGCCCTACCAACCATCGCCACCTATCACACCCAGAACCATCGTATCCACTCCAACATCCACATCCACATCGACTCCAACTACATCCCAAGCCAGTCCAAGTAAGCCAGCAAATGTAATACCACCACTTCAGTTGTCTCCAGCCATCACAATCGCCGCATCCCAAGGCCTGTCACCACCAAACTCTGCCAAGATCACACCTGTCCTCTCTCCAAATGGCGTCGCCAACACAAGTAGCATGGCTGTGAGAAGCCCCCGCTCCTCAAACTTTGGCGACTCGTCGTCGCCCCCCGTCAGCCCACACTCAGACTCCAAGTTCAGCCTTGGCACCAAGAGCAACAACAGCAGCAACAGTGACAAGGAGAAGGAGAAGAAGAGGAGGACCCGCTTAAAGAAGGAGCAGGCATCCATGCTAAAGTCCTTCTTTGACAAGGACAACTACCCCAACAAGGAGGAGAAGGAGAAACTGGCCGGCCTGCTGGGGATGAACTACACTGCGGTCACCACATGGTTTTCCAACAAGCGACAAGAGAAGAGAAGAAAGGGCACGGATGGCCGACGCCTAAGTGTCTCGGACGAGTCTGGACTGCGCAACAAGTCTGGTGAGCACACTGATGAGGACCTGTTCATAGATGAGCCTGACTATGATGAAGACGATGACTCCAACTCCCCACCACACTCGGCCACCCCATCGCGAAGCTCCACACCAGCAGGCCACAGCTCACTCACACCTCTGATATCGGGTATTGGTTTCCATAACAAACAACCAATGCTGATGGAGGCCATCTCACTGAGCCAAGGTGGTTCATCATCACCATTGTTGCTGTCTCGCAGTGGTGGCGCCACGCCACCTCCCAACAGCCTGTCCATTCTGTCACAGGTCGCTCATGATGGAGCACATTCCTCGCCCAGGTCACCATTGTCGCCACTCTCCAATCTTGCACATCAGAGTTCATCATCGCCAGTGTCATCGCCACGTGGACATCATCACTACCATGTCGAGCCCAAGAAGAATCCATTGCTGCTCCAACTCAAGGCAGCTGCTCACCCACATGCCACCGACTCTGATGAGGACTCTGGGTCATCAAAGGAGGTGTCCAAGTACATGTCTTCTCATCAGAACTCTGATTCCGATAATGATGAGTCTAATCAAACTTCAAAGAAGTCCAAATCATCATCTTCGTCGTCCAAGAAATCAAAGAGAGGATCCAGACATCAAAAGAAGTCTTCATTAACTGGCTTGATCACCTCATCCAAGACCAGCTCCAGTTCCAGTCCAAGTCTTGTTGGAAAGAGGAAGCTATCCATTCATTCCGAGGATGAAGGTCTGGCCCAAACACTCAACAACATCAACAAACCAATTGTATCTGCATAGTCTCATCCACCAATCATTCACTCAATCAACTCAATCATCTCACACATACTTTCACATATGATGATCAATCAAAGCTCTCATGTTATTTAATTATGCATCTGGTAGCCAATCCAACTCTACCATCAATCAATCAATCATTCACAATCACTATCACATTCCCAGAGTCCACTCTAGTATTAGTGGACACCATCCATGTACAATAAAACACAAAAGGCCTATAAACATCAATCAATCAATCCAATCACTCTTGGAAGTTGATGGATAATACAATCAAGTGTATTATTATTTATGATTGGTTTATTACATTATATTACTATCTGTCTATGCTTGGAAATAATAGAGGTTGGATGACGGTCCACAAACAAGGCCACAAACAACATTACTTTAGTTGTTGTTGGGCTGGGCATTCCTACGCTGATCGTTGTACTTCTTCATCTTCTCGGCAAAGTGGCTGTGAAGGTCTGATTGATTGACCTCGGATCCAGTGATCCACTGATCCTCCAGACATCTCTTGGCGGTGTATCGTTGCTCTGGATCCTTTACGATTAGTGCACGCACGAATGACTTGGCAGACTCGGATACATGTGTCCATTCAGGCTCGGGGAAGTCGTAGTCGGCCGTCAGGATCTTCTCAAACAGGAGGTTCTGGCTTGATGCATAGAAGGGAGGGAAGCCACACAACAAGATATAGGTGATCACTCCAATGCTCCACATGTCCACGGCATTGTCGTAGCTGCCACCGGTCAACACCTCGGGCGCCACATAGTCTGGGGTGCCACAGCTCGTCTCAAGTTGCTCGCCGCCACCAAATATCTTGCTCAGGCCAAAGTCTGCGATCTTGATGATCATGTCCTCGCCATCGCCCGAGCACAACAAGTTCTCTGGCTTCAAATCCCTATGTGCAATGCCCTGAGAGTGAAGGTATTCAACTCCATTGCACACCTGTCTAACAACATTGCGAGCGTCCTTCTCTGTAAAGGATCCTCTCTCTACAATCTTGTAGAACAGTTCTCCTCCAGTTACCCTATATTATAACATGTCAGTCAGTCAATCTATGTAATAGTCTCTATCTCTATCACTTTGAATGATACACATACAAGTCCATTACCAAGGTCAAGTGAGTATCACTCTCATATATCTCCTTCAGACCGAGCACATTCTGATGATTGACCTTCTTCATGATATCGATCTCTCTTCTCAATTGCTCAATATGCTTCTTCTTGACAAACTTCTTCTCGATATACTTTAGAGCGACCTTCTCATTGTCAGTCTTCTTTGTACCCTCCTTTACAACAGAAAATGCTCCTCTGTTATATATGATTGTTAGTTAGTTACCATAACAATCTTTGTACAGTATTGTATATACATACCTTCCAAGTTCCTTTCCAATTACATAATAATCATCGATAAGTCCAATTGATATGTCATCTGTTATAGTCGCGTAAGTTGGAAGTTGGAAGTTTGAGATGAAGAGGGAGAGGGTGGTCGTGTGAGTAGGATGTAGACATATGATACTTGGAAATGAATGAATGTGAAGTAGACTTACGTGCTGATGAGATGTTCTCTTCAGCCTTGACCTCAGCTGTCTTGGTCTGTGGTTCAGCTGGTGCACCATCAGCTTTGGCATGTTTATTCTCTTTTCCATGATGTCCGCGTCGGTGGAATGGATTGGAAACATGGACATGTTTAACTTTAGATACACAGGCTCCCATTGTTAATTATTAATATGATCAAGATTAATATTATATCGATGTTCTGGTTGAAGATGTTTTGGTTGGAGTCTGGAATGGAATGGAATTGAATGTAATTATCTTCACAATTGATTGATGATCAATCACTAGAGATGATGTTGATGGTGATACAGATAGAAATAATATATAAATTGTTATATGTATGTATGCGATTAATATTATAATATTATCAATAACACAATGATGATTGATTGTGATTGATTGATTGATTGATTGATTATAATAGGTGGTGGTAATGGCAGTGGTAGTGGTAGTAGTAATCGTTAATAATAGCTATGGGGGTATGATTTATATCATACATATATCATCAGTCACTCACTCTTATACTCTCACATGAATGGATGTTAAGTATGTGTGTGTGCGAAGATGTATGTAAGTATTCCAAAGCACATACTCATATTCACACACAGAATAGGATGGTCATCTGACCATAGACAATTGAGGAGGTTGGGTTGTTGTTGTTGTTGCCGCGTAGTGATTGATTGCCTGACAGTCGACCCCTCTTCTTTGGTTGGTGTGTGTATGTGTGTGTGTGTGTGTGTTTGTTTGGTTGAGATTGTGTGTGGGAGTTGATCAGTAGTGTGATTGATTGGTAGATAGATGATGGATTAGGGCAAGATGTGGAGATGTGTGGAGCTGTGGATGGTCCATCAATTAAGTCCTAATCTTAGTGAAGGGGCATCGACTTTGCTCATTGATTGATTGATTGACGTGATTGATTGGTGTTCATTCAGTCTTTACAACAACATCATGTATGTGATTGTCAACCATGCATATGCTCTGCAACTCTGGTATCCAAGACAAGACATGTAGTCGTACTACATGCTTATTAAGTGTCTGTTGTTGGTCCTACATCCGTGCATCCAATACAACACAATGTGATCCCGATTACATCCATCTACTTCTCGATCGACTCTCAAACTCCAATTTACTCTAACTCCGATTCCATTCATATATTCATTCATTCTTTACACTTATAAATTAAAGAATGAAAAGTAGTACTACATTTACATAGTTGTTTAGATTAGGATGATCTTCTCGATTGAACCTTATCCCTTGAGGTCTAAGCTAAACTAAGGTCATCTTTCAAAGTCCTGGGATGACACCAGAAGGTCTATCAAAAAATCATCGAAAGGTCGTAACAGATATTGATGATCGAACAACAAGATATTCTTAGATGTTTGATCCCTTCAAATTAGAGGAAGCACAAGGCGGTCCATAATGTACATCATGAATGTCACCTGATTGGTCGATTGATGGACTAGATATATATTTATACATTCTAGAATACACAATCACATAAATACATAATCTTATTATTATCCTACAATATCGATATCAATATCAATAGATTGGGCAGACACAACATCATCAATCATCAATAGCCTCGCGCAGTAACTCATTCCTCATTCACACAAACAACATGTTGTCAAAGCAGCCCACAAGTAACTTGTTGAAGATCATCACATTTATGTTGTTGGGCCTTCTGTTGTTATTACCGACATTAGTTTATTCACAGACTCAAGCCGACTGTATGTGTACAAATCATCGCAATGACTGATGTCCTTCCATCCCATCACACTACTCACACTTACACACAAACTTACTTGATCAGTGGATGCTTTAAACTGGATTGAGAAGACCTGGAATTTGGCATTGCCATCTCCAAAGTGTCAAGCATATGGTATTGTTTGTGACATTGCACAGAATATTATATCAATGTAAGTATCCAAGATTGGTGGAGTTGATTGATCGACGGAATAACACTAACATATTCACTAACTAATCATTAATGATTGAAGAAATATTGATGCAGCCTCACCAGTATCTCCAACAACAACAACAACAACTACAACATCTACTGGTGCGTCAGGAGGTGGTACTGCTGTCACCACCAGTAAAGCATCTGCCACTGCACCTAGTCCCTTTCTCAATCAGTTGAGGGATTTAGATCAATCATCTACAACAAATGGATGGTCCTCCAACATTCAAACCGCAGCACCCAAACAACCAGCTAACACTCCATCGACGACATCTCCATACTCAATGTTATATCTTGTCAACATGTAAGTTCCCATCATTTAATCCAATACCCATTCAATCATTCTTTCATTCATTGTACTAACATCAATCAATCAATCAAACAAACATTCATAGAGCCATTACCAAGTTACCTGTTAATCTAACTGTTATGATATTGAATGATCTATATGCGCCAAACCTTCAAACTGTTCTGTATGTATGGTATCAAATACTATCCTCTGGATCACATCACTAACTTGTCATAATGATAATAGATTAAACTATAGTCCAATCGCTCCACCACCATTCACAGCTGATATAGTCACTGCATTCCCCAACTTATTGGCAATGTATGTACATCGATTGGATCAGATCACTTTTAGATTAATACTAATAATATCACTTTGGTTTGAATTGGTCATTAGTGATTTCCTTGGACCTGTTGTATCTGGCAAAGCACCAACCTCTTTATTCCAGCATCCATTGCTTCAGAGATTGTAAGTTACCATGGTCATTTATTGATTGATTGATTGAATGAATGAATGAATGATAGACTAACACCATCATCAATGACCAGGACAATCAAGTCGAATTTAATGTTTGAACAATTGTTAAATGTAACATCCAATAATGTTATTGGCAATCTGTAAGCATGAGACATGATATTGGGTTGAGTTCATTCATTCATATTTTCTAACAATTAATCCAAATACATTACATTACATAGTGATATAATCCTTGATCCTTCGATTCAATCGCCAGTACTTATCACTCAATCATCACTTCCAAAGGTGACCAACCTGTATGTTTAGCCTGATCTCTCTTCGCCCATCACCCACTCACTGACACTCTCTCGCCAAACATCAAATAGTACTTTGAACTATAAGGCCTCTGCGATATTGAATATCCAAATTCCATCTCTTTCCATCTTGTATGTTGTTGGACACCTTTGATCGACCAATCCAACCATCAACTAACAACAATCCCATTCATTCAAAATAGAACACTTAATGGTCTCGCTGCCCTACCAAAGGTTGAACTGACCATCAACACCCCACTCCTGAATAAGTTGAGTATCTTCAACTCTGACGCACAGCCAATAGTAGGCAGTCTCGACAAGCTCACCGAAATCTATCTCAATCACAATGCACCAAGACCAAGCATATTCTTCACCTCATTCCCTCCAGCCCTCACTACCTAGTAAGTTCCAATTATGATTGATTGATTGATTGAATGATTGACGTGGACATCTACTCACGCATACATTAGTTCTGAACAGAATACACCAATGAGCAATGTATCACTTCCACCAGCTACTGACGTACTCAAGACATTGATATTGTCAGGCAATCAGATCAGCTTGGATATTGCCAAGGTGACATATTGGAACTTGGATTTCCTGGATTTATCCAACAATCAGATTAGGGGCAATGGATCACAGCCATCATTATGTTCAATCGCCCGCATGAACATGGTTGGCAATCAGATCACGGCAATGGGCGAATGCTTCTATTGCTACAAATCATATATAGCGGTGTGGTTCGATGCGTCCATGGTGATCTATACACCCTCCACTGAATGTGGCTACATCAACAATGCACCCAGTGGCGGATTTGTCGTGCGCAGTGACCTAATCTACATCACTGGCAAGAACCTTGGCTGGGGAGGCTTTGGCACCACATCAGGCCTCACTCCAATCATTCCAAACTTCAACTTTACTTTCAAAGTACCAGAGACAGCAGTTAAAAATGGTACCATCTCAATCAAATTCAGTGCTGAACAACCCAATCAAACATTCCCCATACTCATGGCAGGTATGTTAATCAATCACTCCACTGATCGTTCATATATTCAAACAAACTGACACATTCTCCACACAGCCCCAACCGTTGATTCAGCATCATTCATTCAGATGGAGAATATATTGTTGATGCGTGTCTCTGGCGTCAATGTGAAGGATATCATTGTTAGACTGAATGGTGAGACTTTGGTATGTTTTTCACGTGACACGTCTTTTGTCTCATGTCAGGTGCGTGTCGACCTACCAGAAGGCACGCACACTGTTGGTTGGACAGACAGTCCCTACCCACCATCATTATCCTACAACTTCACTACATCGTACTTCCGCTCATTCCCACTAGTCAGTGGAGTGTCTGCCATTGGACAGTCGGGCGGCAGTGTCACCATAACAGGCACATTCTACGCCAATGGTGTGGCCGATGACAACACCACAGTGACAGTTGATGGCGTCAACTGCCCCATCTCAAGCATGGCAGCCAGCCAAGTTGTGTGCGATCTCAAGCCAACAAAGTCATTGGGCAAAGTCAGGATGGTGATCAACAACGCAGGCTTCTTGCTGGATTCATCGCGTCTGTTCTACATCTCGCCAGACACCGTTGCTTGTCCACAGGGCTGTGGAACTGGCATCTGCCAGATGGGCTTATGCACCTGCCCCGTGGGATACTACGGTCCCGACTGCTCATACCAGCAGACACCAGTCGCAGAGGTCGAACAGGAGCTGAGTGAAACGACACCAAGCAGCACCACCATTCTGGCCAACGCATTGTTCCAATTCAACATCACATCGATTGAGGAGTTGGACTCACTCGATGCTGTGGTCAACAATCAATCACTCATTCAATGGACCACCATCAAGACTGAGTCGGATATCAAATCCACCGTCAACTACTCCACGGTCACCAGTCATGGCGCCAATGTCACCGCCATCTTTGACGTCTACAAGACATCGAGCACCGTAACATTTGCCGGCATCACTCGTGATTACATACCTGGCACGCTCAAAGTGTCGCTAGTGATCACTGGCTGGAAGTTCCAAAAGTCGTCCAACGTACTCCGTGTCGTGGTCTCCACATCCTCATCAATCAAATCAGCCGAGAGCACATGTGGCGCTGATCAGACAAGCGAACACTATGGCCAGGACTCGCTAAACAACCTGAACTACCTTGTGTATGAGCGAAATGACGTGACATTCTACGGTCGCTTCATCAATCGCTCAATGTCCGATGGCCGCCCAACATTCTCAGCCACCAACATACTCAGCCAAAGTTCTGATGGCGCGGACAATGGAACCAAGGTGACGCGCATCGGCATCTACCTGCCAATGTGCAATGAGTGCATCCTTGATCCAGACTTTAGTGTGTTGGTCAATCCACACCAAGAGGCCAACCCATGTGCCTCCAACAACAAATCCAACTACGTGATCGTGGCAGCTGTGTGTGGATCAGTGGGCTTTGTCCTGGTCGTGGTAATAATCGTGGCCATAGTGATCAAGACTCGCTACTATGTACATCGCCACGGTAACTGGTTCAAACTCGTGCCTCGCGCCGGTGAGCGCAACCGAGCACTCAAAAAACTACGCGGCGCCTCTGAGTAAAACCCGCTCACCTCAACCGTCATTCACGGTCGGCGGTTCGTCCAATGGGTGGGTCGACCACATGGATGGACATGCCGGCAATATTTACAATATCATAATCAATGTCATCAATCATTCATTTGTATTCTTTCCATTTCATTACATTCCTTTCCGTTCATTGTGTGTGTTGATGTCATCTCCGCTGACGTACTTACCAGGTTCGTGTTAGGCATAATGTTAACTAATGTATCTAGATTCATCCATCCATCTCAATTATTCATCCAAAATGATCAAGCAACTACTTACCCCACCCAAAGACGACTTTGATCATTTTCATATCAGGTGGTTGGAAGGGGGCTGATTGAATGGGTGGGGGCTTGGCGATGTAAGTTTGATCGTCGAGTGGGGGGGGGGGGGGGTTGTT